TAATACAAGTGACAGTTATTTGAAATCAGTGCGCGCCTAAAGCTGGTCTCGGGGCCGTTTAACAGTTTAGTTTTAGATATTGGTCACCTTGAGAAAAGTTTCCCGGAGACCATCATGTAAAGTTCTGACACGGGACAAAGTAATTACGATTCGCAGAGTCTGCATCGTCCAATATCGTATTATATTCTCGTTTCATTTGCCTCAACGGATCAATCACCCTGATCCGGGCTGAGACAGAAAGGTACGATATTGTTCGCTTTTCTAAGGTGACCACTAAGTCTTTGGTCTCGGGAACAGGCTCCTAGGAGTCAAATGAATTAGGTGCTAGCAAAATTGCAGGCGATCTTTTACCCGGGCCAAGACTTAGATTTTTCTGGTGTGAAAACAAGGCTAAGATGGTCCCCGCCGACCGTGTGACTCTACATCCGGGAACTTGAATAAGACGAGTGTAAGAGAAAAGTCCAGAGGTGTTTATTTGCAATAGGCCGAGTTTTTCCGAGTTATTCGATGATATTTCGCTTATGTTGAACGCGAGAAGATTATGCGTGGTTGTGGATAGTCTTATCAGTGCCGCGAAAGTGTGTGATTGTGTTATTTCCGCATGGTGTTGACAGGTATGTGATCGCCTGGTTGAACTGCGGTTTGGCCAAATATTCTGTGCCAGCCATTAATACTGTTTCGTCGGTGTTTAGCTTAGCTGATTGTACCTTGTAAAAGCAACTCTCGACTTAGGAAAATTGGATCTAGGTCTAGTTTCAGCGGGCTCTGATGGCATTGAACCATAGGCCGATTTTGGCAGATAAGAAGGTGATAATTTGTGCACCATGTTTCATTCAGTTTGTTGTCTATTCCATGCGAAATCCTGTTGTTTACCGGACCGCGAAAAAAAGTTGTGTTTTGCTAACTATTTAAGTTGTTATGTAAGCCTTAACCAAGCACTCTTTCGCGAAGTCAGATTACTGAATAAATGTTCTAAAATTTGCGTAATTTTAAATTTGGACTCGTTGGAATGCTTCTAGGGACCATTAACTTACTGCCCGGGGTCAGATAAACGCTTTTAATCGGCCTTTGAACGAGTTTTGTTGTTTTAAATTGCCAACTAGTAGAATGAGTTGATATTTTTGCAAACCCGGTTTTCAAAAATCCAGGTATATAATTGAACTGTAATTATCAAATGTGTCACAAAATTCGTCTGTTCAACTTCCATTTTAAAGTTCTCATTATTTAAAATAGGATAAAAGTAAATATTCTGCCAAATATCAGAAAATTTGAATGAGTAGATTTTGAGAAATCGTCTTCTGTGTACCAGTGTTTTTTCGCCGCCATGTTTGTTTGTCCAATTTAAAACACGCGCCGTCACGCGAGTTACCGCTGACCGCACACAAAACTGTGTTCAGCCACCTTAAGGTGCGGGCATTAGAGTTCCCTCATCCCGACCAGTCGAAAAACAAAGCACCCCTCCCCCCAGACTAATTAACCACTTTCGCTTCTGAGACACTTCCGGCATGTAAATTTTGGCTCGATTTCACTAAGATTTCCGTGCATAAAAACTTTCAATATAAACTAGATAGTAAAATTCATCCTATTTGCATAGTATAGGATGCATTTACTTATTATTCTTTACCTGTTTTCTCTAGCAAAGCTTTGTAAAGCTTAGCGTATCCAATACCAGCGTTCTCTTCGTTGATGGAGAGCCGAGATTCATGTGCATGCACAACAAACACTGCTACGTTCATCTCAAGCTCCCGAATGCCTTTATCACTTAACTGAGCCATCTCAGAAAGCGGAAAGTAGTGGGACACTACTTTAGATGAATTTACAATGGCGTTCAACCAATCTTCGACGACATTTAGCTTATATGTACGGTCACAGTTAAAAAGATGAATGTTTAGTTGCTTTGACATCGTCTCTGCTTGTTTGGTTGCTTTTTCTCGGTTTTGTCGTTTCCCTTTCGCCTTCAAATGCGCAGGTATTCTCAGCGTCTTCTGTCTTCTAAATCGACAGTCAAGCCAATTAATAACCTCGCAATGTTTCCGAGAAAGCTTGAATACGTCACGCTCCGATTATGAACACACAACGCCTTAGCGACCACTTGAACTGTCGCATACGGTATATTACAGCCTGTCAATTGTGTAACACAATTTCCCAGAAAAAGATAGAAAACAAACACCAAAAAATACATCATCCGACTACAATGACACGTGATCTCTTTCTTAGAAAACGTGGGAGAATTCCCTATTTGTGAATGAATAGTTGTCCGGTCAACTTCGCCATTTATTCACAGTCTTCATAAGTCGCTGCGAAATTAGGATCTTGAAAATGGGGGTGAGTCTACCAAACTTTACTTTTTAAGAACATTTAAACAGTATAAGCTTGTATCCTCAGCCGCGTCCCAGCTATCTGAGACAGTTTCATTAGTGACTTCTGTTAAAATAGCTTACTTTTCTGGTGACTTCTACATGTTGTCACAGGAGCCGGAATTTTTATTGTCTAGCTCTATGAACGAGTTTTGTTTTCAGCTTCATGAACTTTTCTTTGTACGGCACGTTACTGCCGGTAGTTAACCCGCGATATTAGTACAGCTTGTGGTTTTCATTTTCAAAATCATCGCAAAACCATTTTGAGTTGAAACGGAACAAAGGACTCGTAGCGAGTGCAAGTACGCAATCGAAAGGTTTTGAAAAGTCCTTTCCATTAGAACACTCAGCTCGCTGGATTCACACTGGATTGGATTTAATCCTGATAAGTTTCTTTTTCTCTGTGATTTACAAAGCACTACTTAAAGTTTTCAGACACCAAGTGTTCCATATTTTCCGAGAAGTAGGCCTTACACGCGCACGAGGTTAGTTCTTTGTTGTTTTATATTTTCTTTCATTTTCAAAGGTTTATGCTCAAAATAAGAATTTAAATCGAAATATACGCCGATGATGAATTCGAGTAGTTTTTCTTTGCAGAGTATCTCGATTCGCTAGTATTTGAGGGCAGGGAAATTAGTCACCGGCTAGCTTCCGGCTTTCACTTTCATATCTACTTGGCCTTGGGGAGGGTTGAGGACGCGTTTTGCCCAAGAGAAGCGCCTTCCGGCTTCACTTTCACTTTCGAATGATAGTGGCATGGGGGAGGGGGTAGGGGGTGGAATAATCCCCTGCAGTTAACTAATGTAGAAGTAACTGCCATTCACTTCCAGGCTTGTCTTTCACTTTTGAGCATGAAATTAAGAGGATGAGGGTCAAGGGATGACTATTCACCACCTGATTTTTCTTAAAGGGAATCAGATGCAAGGCGGCAAATGAAAGTTTCGTACCTACAGGCTAACTCACAAGTTTCAGTTTCCTGACTCATACACGGTAGAAAAATCCCTGTTTTGCCACCGCGACAGCGCTAAAAATCTGTAGTAGTTACGAAGTGGTCGTATTTCTTAAAAGAGCCGTTGTCAGTAAATTTCGAGAATTCGGCGCCAGATCAAAAAATTCGAAGTCTTTTTTTTCATTTCACCAAAAAACCCCTCTGGTATTAAAACTATTTTCAACTTTAGATCGGCCTAAACCTGGTCGGAGGCCTAAAGAAAATTATGCAAATTAGGGCATTTTCAAAACGTTCGTACCACAAAAAAGACAGCTAATCTATAGTTCATCTTTACAAGGGTTGTTGCACATTTCTTAAAGTTACTTATTTTATTTGAATTTAGACTGCAGCAGCCCTCGACAAGGAAAATATTAAGTTTGACTATAACAAACACTGGAAAGTTAATTTACTCGTAATCTCTGGCAGTACGATACAGATCCGAATACTTCGGTTGTTCGGTGACCTGAGATATCAGAGAATCTCATTGCTCAAAGTCCTCGAATTATCAGTATAGGTCACTTTAATACTTGTTTTCATTAATCCGGTATAAGTGACAAAGTTCCTTATGCAAATAACGTGCATCTGACCTGAAAATATTACCAGTGACTGAAACGTGAAGCATATGTTGCGTGACAAAGGAAGTAAAGTACGCATGTTTTCCACGGTCTGTCGGGCCGACCATTTCTGAGGTGAGTGAAGGGGTGGTGGGGTAAGGGGCTGGGTGATTTTGAAAAATATATACATGTATACACTGTATATCCTGGAAGTGCATATAGGGTAAGAAAAGATTCCTGCATAAGCGCACTGTCCACAAAAACACCTAACGCACCTACAGTGGGCTGACAAAAAAAACCTGCCCGAGACGCTCCCTGGGTTGACACCATGAAGCTTATGATTTTTCTCAAAAACGGAGCTTCGCTGGAACTTTTGAATATTCATTTGTTTTTTAAAATAGTTTACCAAAAGGGTTTTTTTGGTTATATAGAAAAAATCGATTTTTTTGATCTGGCGCCGGATTCTCGATATTTTCTGACAACGGCTCTTAAGAGGTTTTGAGAAAGGATGATAATCTTTTTTTTTCACGTTTGGTTAAATCTCCAGTGGTTATCCATAGGCGGGGACTTGATCGATTAACGTTTCAAGACTCCACGATAGTAGGAATAAAGACTGCTCTTGACAGGGGAATTAGCCTAAGGATGATTGCATTGTTCTAGTTAACACGCGACTATCAAAGTCAGTGAGAATGGGTTATACTGTAACTCAGTCAAGAGCCGACCGGGCATTGGATTAATGATGAAACCACACACTCACAGCGGCTAACCTGATTGGTAATTAACAATTATTCCTCGAACCCGAATGGGCTGTGAGTCAATAGCTATTGACTCAGAGGCCATGAGGGCGAGAGGAATAATTGTTTTAGTAAAATCCAACACTAGTTGGTCAAAAATATCACGACAAAACAACTTTACCTAGTTAAAGCTAGACTTTCATCCTTTTTTTGCCGCCAAAAAGCCGGCGCTTTTTGCTACTAGTGGGCTATAACATATAGCCTAGTAGTAGCTCAACCAATCAGAACGCAGCATTGATAATAGACCACTAGTTGGATTTTACAAAAATGATTTGCTGTTAGTACACTTAAACTCCTACGAGCGTCTAAAGTGACGCAAAAAAGAGAATATTAAGACCTTTTGTTTAAGTTATATAAGGGTCGTCGATCGTCATACTTAAACACCTCCTTTTTTTATTCTGTAAAATGGTTCCACATTAGAAAAGTGTTACCGCCATCTTTTTTTCGAGCTGGTTTTCTTTTTTAAAAACCCCTTTCAAACCTGCAATAGGCAGTCAGACAGCTTGATGCGGGTTAAAAACTTCCATTTTCTTTTCTTTTTTTTTTTCTATTTTAATTCAGGGTAGTAATAGCCATGAAACACAGTATACTTACGTGGACAATACAGAGAGTAAAAGAGAAGAAGCAAGGCAGTTGGAACAGAGAAGGCTGGAAAATGAACGGAGACAAAGGGAGGCTCAAGAAAGGCTGCGTATACAGGAAGAAGAACGACGAGAAGAAGAGAGAAGGAGGGCGGAGTATCAGCAACAGCGGCAACGAGAGGTAGAACAAGAAGAAGCTAGGAAGAGAGAAGAGGAAGAAAAGCGCTTGCGTTTGGAGAACGAATTGTGCCTCCGTCGAGCTGAGCTGTTTGACTACAAATTTGGTAACAAGATCAAACTAGATAGTTTCAAAGGCTTGGCAATAGATGATGTGACACAACTCAGAATCGGTGTGTTCGGACCCACTGGATCGGGCAAGAGCTGCTTTATCAACACGTGTGAACGAGCTGTGAGGCAGACGGATAAGGGCACAGCTCCTGACAGCACCACAGGGCAAGAAGGGACCATCACTCTTCAAGATTATCTCCCTGAGTTATTCTTCCACTTGGTTGATACACGTGGTTTCTTCAACTACAACGCTAACGAAACCGTGGAATTTAAGAACATCTTGCATGGAAAGATACAACCCGGGGATAATGTGGTCCGTCCTAAAGAAGACCAAGAAGATGTTCCAGCTATGGACCTTCACCCAAGTGCCCCATTTGCCAATCGACTGCATGGTATCATCATTGTTGCCAAGGCGAATGACCCGCGACTGAAGGAGGGTGCCTTAAAGGATTACCTAAAACCAGTCCGAGATATTCTGCGTAGAACTGGTAAAGTGTTATCTAATGCTGATAATCAATAGGACACCAATGCGGACAAAAACTGGCAAAGTAGTTTTCCATACAAATCCTTGTCAATTCTGAAATTTTTAAACTGACGTTTAATCTTTTCCTTACGCATTTAAGGGCTCAAATTGCCTGTTATGAAGAATTAAAAGGAGATCTGAACGCCGTAATGATTAAGGAAATATTTCATGACAGTTTTGACAAATGCAAAATTTGCAAGGGTTTGTCCCCGGAAAACAACATGCAAATGCTTCTAACTTTGATCGGCGGCCGTCTCATTTACTAGGAGATATAAAGCTGAAATTCTCAGGTTACCTAATTTTAATATGCTCTTTCAGGTTATGCTAACAAAATTTTTCAAAAGTTAACTGTTTTCGTGTTTACCGAAAGCTGATCACGTGATCAACTCGTGCCTGAAGGGCCTTTATATTAATTTCGCACAAATTAAAGAATTAAGGAAAAGAATTATCAGCAAGAGTTAACAATTTATCATGTGATATCCTTTTATTAGAGGTTATGGTTGTGGCTGTGAAGCCCTCACTTAGATTGTAAAGACTTTCTTTGTTAGCCAGAAAAGGGGCATACTGTAGGCGTGTAGCTGTGCAACAAAAGTGCTGTCATGACAAAAGCAGCTTGTATAGGTTCAGGATTTTATAAACGGCCCTGTTGCTGATCTCAGCTTACAAAATGTTATTTGTTAGTGCAAGGCATAGGTATGGTTGGGAGGATGATATTCAGTTTCAAATTGCGCCTGAGATCGTTATATATATTCCTAAGATGTGTGACCAAGAACAAGAGCACAGGGCTCGGAAGCTTAAGAAAAGGAACTATTCCATTTTAAAAAAAAATCTATTAGACTAGGGAGACTGATAGACCCGCAAAAATCATATCAGTATCGGTTGTGAGAGACCAGTTTTATTGCTTGAACCCTTGAAGTTCTGCTTTGTCTCCTTTCACAATCCTTTACCAATCTATTCATTTCTTTTTGCTCCCACGAAAGGAATCGCACCCATCACTGTTGTTACGCACCGTGACACACTGACGACAGAAGAGGAATGTGAAAATGCCCTTTACGAAGCTTCAGCGGCTACTGGCAGTTCACCCAGTCACACTTTCTTTGTGTCTAACTACTGTAAAGACAACAGCAAACGCAATCCAGAAACAGAGCGCATGATCTTCAATATTCTACACTACGCGCTGTTTACGGCTGAGAGGGCAGTGAAGATCATGAAACAGAGACGGAGAAACGAAGAGGATGGGATGATGCGCGCGCTTGAAGGAATTAATGTCAGCGGACAAGTTGCGCCGGACGCCGCGGACGGTAATCGAAAAACTTGTATTTCCTGTACATAATATGTAGGATAGTGCTGGCCCGCAAAGTAGCATTAACTAATTGAGACGGGTCAGGCACAGATACATACCAATTGTTCAACCTAGTGGAGGTGGCTAGTGGTGAGTGAATATTTACCGTGCCGTGAAGCGACAATAAATTTAGGTTAGACGAAAAGCTTTACCTGTAAAAACTTCCAAACCAAATTTCGTCGCCTTCCTCGTGTATTTCGGAAAACACTTCTTCGTTTGTTACAGCAGCAAACCGCGGGAAGCCCTTTTGCTCGTAACCTACGCGATTTTGACGCCTCTCAAAAGTGAATAGCACTGTATATCCCGAGTTTGAGCAGCCAATCAGAGCGCGCGAAAACCGCTATCCACTGTTTTAGTATGATACTAAAAATAAATATATCGTATTAAAATATATTCAAGATTCATATATTAAGATCGATTCACTGCAACACCTTGAAATTTCAAGACAAACCTAGCCTACAAACCTGCAAAAAATCCTCGTTTTTCACGTTATGCTAATTTTTCCAAATTAATGGGGACCATACATACCTCAATGACTAGTACTTTTCAGTTTGAATGTTGTCAACGTTTTACAATAAAAAATACAATAGAATTCAAGGCGATTGAAAAATATCGGTATGGCTTCCGAAAAAACTGTATCGAAACACCTTAAATCTTGAGGTTACAGTAAGTGTGTCAACTTGATCGATCCTTTTGAAACCTAAAAGTTGTCGATAAATTGACGCTTTGAATTATGTTTTGACAATGAACGAATATTAAGAGGAACACAATTCCACACTTTAGCTCCATTGCAGGAAAACAACTTAATCCTCTGCTGTGTTCTCGAATTTTTAGTGGTGAAGATTTGCTAATAGTTTGAGTTTAGTTGTAGTTGTGATTTGTTTATTTATCTTTCTCGAATCGCATTTAATTTTTATTTCCAGTCCTGGATGTTTAGTGGGCTTAATCTTAAAGCCCAAAATCGAAAATTTTATTTGCTCAAACCGCATTGTATCGAAAAAGCAACCCCTCTGTAATAGTTCGGTAAGTCAGTGGAAATTTCTCAGTAATTATTACTGGATAAATCCCTATCAGCGACAGATTCTATGTTAATGATCTGACCTCCTATCCTTCTCCTTATCATCACATTAACTTCTTACTTAGGGCAAAATAAATGTTTGGTTAGGACTGTAGCGTGTGGGCTGTTTTCTCAGAATCTTACAAAACCTTGTTTCGGCTTCGATAGTCTGGTTGGCGCCTTACGTATTTACTGGACTCTCAAACTCTTTCATGCGGAGTTTTCTGTCGAGGCCATTTCAAATGCTGGTCCAACATCAGTGGCGGATCCAGACCTTGAGATAAGAAAGTGGGAAGCCCGGTCATCCAGAAGGGAGGAGAGGCGGTCTCCCCCAAAATTTTTTTTGTCCCTTTGGGCCTTAGTTTGGTCTTTCCCTTCCCTGGATTCGCCACTGAACATAATCCAATAATGATGCTTGAACCCCTTATTAAGCGTTGTTGGATGTCGCTTGACAAAGTTGGATGAGGTGTAAATGTGATAAAACGTTTGTGCTCGACTTTTCTGTTGTACAGTATTAATATTAGAACGATGTGTTTCAGTCAGGCCTGTTTCAAACGTCGTGCTACTGCCGACTGTAGCTCGACTGCAGCACCCGGACACTACCACGACTTGGTTTCAGACGTCGAATTGCGAAAACAAAACTCAAAAATAAAGGAACAGTTTAGCAAACTTTTAAATGTATTGTTAGGTAATGTATTTATAATTTATGAACTGAGCTCGGCACGGCAGTAGCGCGACGTTTGAAACCAAGTACACGGCAGTAGCACGACTTGGTTTCAAACGTCGCGCTACTGCCGCTAAAGTCGAATTTAATACGATCAATTTAGTTCGGCACAGCAGTAGCACGACGTTTGAAACGGGACTCAGTGTCACAGGCGGCTCCTAAGAAGAATTCCGAGTAGTCACAACAAGAGTCGAACCTTTGCCCTCTGGTTACGTTTACTAGTCCAGATGCTCTACCACTGAGCTGCAGGGGACTCGTAAGAGCTAAAGCCTGGTTTTCACTAGCGCATAAGCATAAGGATAAGCATATGTGTAAGCAAGTGAAAACTGGGTCGACATAAGCATAAGCATAAGCACAAGAAAAACGGACAACTTCGTTGTTTGTGCTTGAGCTTATGCTTATGTCGTAGCTCTGACAAGTGAAAACTGGGTCGACATAAGCACATGCATAAGCACAAGGCCGTGGGCCAATCATAGGTGACTTTGACCCAGACCTCATGCGAACATATGAAAAGCAATCTGGTAGACGCTTCGTCCGCCATCTTGTTTATCATTGGGTTGAGAAGAGCTGCTATCGAGAATTAAGTCAATTTAATTATTAATTAATTCGACTTAAATTAAGTTGCGTGCGTATGTTCTTATGCTTAGGGTTATGCGCTATTGAAAACCAGGCTTAAGGTCACTAAAGCCTCGGCCAAACGTCGAACTTTTCATGAGACGAACCAAAGTCTAATTTGGGTCGACTTAAATTAAGTTAAGACCATCTGTTGGGTCAGACATCGAACTTAGGACGCGTCAAAGCAATCAACTGAGTCAGACCAAAAAGCGGTTAGTAAATTTTCTCCCGAACGAGGCTAAGTGTACATTATCATACAAACTTTCAATTTATTAGTTTAGTTTGTCGCATATGAAGATCGACGTTTGTCGCGGAGACGATCTTCAGACGTTCTATCCGTCAAACTCATTCACTGACGAACTTTCGAGAACTTAACTGAGCCAGACGTCGAACTTTCACTAAGCTTGTGTAAGGAAGATTGAAAATCCTGCACAACGTAGTTACTTAATATTAGTGTGAAAATTATAAAATCGACGCTGTTATTTTAAGAGTCTTTTTTTCACAGAGATTGGTTCGTCTCTTGACAGTTCGAGGTTTGGTCTATGCCATAACTAGGTGTATCACTGTGTCACTGAATGGAAAACATGTTCTCCAGTATTCACATCAGGCTTAAATAAAAAAAAAAAACATATTTCTATCAGCCAGTTTTGTTGAACCATTAGAGCGGTTCAACAATGTAGCTGATACAGTATGAACTCAGAATTAAGCTAAATATCTTTTCTGCTTTCTTTCTATAACAGCTTCTGTTCAGATGTTCCTTCGTTTTCTGCAAAATGAGTACCAGTGGGGTTCCAACAGCGTGAAGGCAGTGTTAAACGAGCTGTCTAAGGCTGACGTCACAAGCGTCAGTCTGCTGGCCATGTGTTGGAGTGATGTGCAGGCTCATTTTCCTTTTGGAATGAGGAGAATGGTGGAGAAAGAACTAAAGAACAGAAACATGATCCCTTAGGAAGGCCAAGTTTTCAAGGCATGGGAAACAAAACTAGTTTCTTGCAATTATAAGGCCGTCTTTTTAAACTTTATTCAGATTTTTAAGGGAGTGTGTCTCCGCAGTTTAGCCAACTTGTTTAATTTTTGCCAATTACTCTCTCTAATGAAACTTAAAGAGTAGAAATAAGTTCTTAAAATAACAAAATCACAGCTTCATGTTAGAATTAAATATATCGAATGTGGGCTATTGTTTGCAACTGTGCGTTTTTCCCGCGCTTGACAACCTTGACATGAATTTACCTGATGTCGAAATGCGATTGGTTCCTTCAAGTTTCAGCTGGCGTTGTGGTTGGTTAGAGTATGAACTTAGGGTGCTTTCAATTGGTCGTATTCCGGAATGAGAATAGTCAAAAAGTTTGCTACAAATCTCTTCAGGCGTAATTTTTGAACCCGTAAACGTTACTGACATATAAATATCTTATTTCAAGCAGATATTTAGATACTGCATTTAATGCAATGAATGCAGTGATTTCTAGTTAAGAGTTCATTTCATTCAGTATTCTGATTCCGGATTACGGTCCTAAAGTTTGCTTTTACGATGTTCAGTGGACGCCCACACTCTATATACAAAACAAAAGAAATAAACGCAGGAACTGGATGCAGGATGCCTATGATAAGACTCTCCTAAACACATCACTGTTTAGTTACAATAAACAGGTCTTGATTAGAGAAAAAGAACTTTATGTCAGTGCCTTAAGAAATGTCTGGAAAACAAACGCTTGCTGATGTTAGGGTAAGAAGCGACGGCTTTGCTTACTTTGTCAAATAGGAACCTTATCCAGGTTCAGAAAAAGAAAGAAATTTCGTCGTTGCTTGTTTACTTCCTCCATAAAACATGATGTTAGGCAATTTTCATGTCGTAGTTGTTGTTTTGTTTATTAAAGCTATTGCGGTTTTTTTTACGTTCTCGTTGTTGTTGCCGTCGTCGGATCGTAAGGTCCCTAAAGAGCGAGAACAACACTGAAAATTAAAAAGATCTGTTTCAGCCCCAAAGTGTCAATTCAGCCCTGCAGGCCAAAGTCTGATTCAGCCCTTCCTGAAGCCATTTGAGCACAATTTAGGGCAAAAAAAAACTCAATTAAAAGGCTATTCCAGCCCACTGTAGGGCCCATTTCAGCCCTGGGACCAAATCAGCCCTAGCTAATTGGACTGTATTGGCCCTGATTTAAGGGAGCCAAATTATATTCTGGTACCTAACATACCTATAGTTTAGAATGTTGCATCCCTTTTTACTGCTGTAAATGCACTCGTACCCTGCTCCCAGAGGTTTTTCTTGAAATTTTTCTTCGCGAAAGAGAGAGCGAGCTGCGAAGCGGTGAGGAGGTAAAATTTCGCGAAGAAAAAGTTCAAGAAAAACCTCTGTGACCAAGGTAATGCACTGGTGGGTCAACGTGATGCTAGTTAATGAACTTTCATTATCAATTTACTTACTACTTTACTACTTTACTTTAATGTGAGAGGAATAAAATAATCAATTTACTTTGACACGGACTCTACAATGCCTTCACTCATTTCTCGCGTTTCTGACGAACCCTAAACTTCTATTCAGATGTCGAGTTTGAGAGCGTAGCGTCTCTTACGCATCATACAACATCATATAAAATCGAAGAATAAAAATAAAAACTCTCTCTCGACAGGCAAGAGATATGACCTGGCCTTCTAGGCATGCGTCGTGCGTTCTTTTCCCACGCGGCACAACCCTTGGGAAAGTCCGGTTAGCGCAAGAACAGGTTGCCCAAACCCACCTGCTCATCACGAGGAAAGGGTGTAAAGTAATAGGTGACGCGTGACCTTTGTACTGGACGCGCCGGTGTATGGGAAATAAAATTCTGAGATCTACGAACGCAAAATAACGTTAAATCTAATTTTTCTTCCAATAAGATGAATAAAAATGACTTACCTGCGATGTATTCCACTGTATTTTGGTCCCGGGGGAGGTACTCCCTCCTTTTTTTACGCCCAGTTTCCTCGTAATGTGAGGTTGGACAAATTCTTGGAAAGAAAGAAGAGCAAATTCTTGGAAAACGCAAGGTCATCGAAAAGGGGAATTACCATTCCTGATGATAATTTAAAGTAGTTTTTTTGTGTTGGTGCTGTAGACTGCAGCAGTTGGACTCGGGTGCAGTTAAAGAATGGGGGTAGGTAGATGGAAGTATTGAATCTACCTGCTCGTAATATTTGTATTTTTTGTCACGTGCATGCATTTATTCGTTCCTTCTAGCGGATAAACATGCATTGAGGCATATACACTTTCAGAAACAGATAATCGACGTCTAAATCCATTTCACCTTGTTTCTGTTCATTACCAGTTGCAAATGTGACGTTGAATCACCTCGGATTTACATGCTAGCAAATTTTCATTTCCATGAAAGCTAAATTATATATTTACTGATAAAAATCCCCCCCTCCACCCCCTCCAATTTCTTCCTTGAATCACTCCATCTTTAGTCTTTTCATTTTCAGTTTCACTATCTCGCTTAAGCTTGCTTCCGGCGATAAGCTAAGGCAGCCGAAATTCCAAAAACGACCATAAAGTAATTTCAACCATTCCCGGCTTACAAAATATTTTGAGACACTTTTATTATGCTTTGTAAGTTCCTTACAGTCATGTTTAAGCTTGCGAGGCTAAATTTGATTTGATTCTATTTACTTCCTCCGGTAGTCTACGCTTGGATCACTTTCACTTTCGAAATTCCGGGGAACACCTCCCCAAGGACGAAAAATCTCAGCAGTCAGAGGTGATTCATTTTGATGGAAAAAAATGTGAATTAAAAAGCTTTCGTTTTTTTCTTTAGACCGCCCTCGAAAAGGGGGTGAACGATATGATTGAAATACAAAGAGCTGAAAGAGAAAGAGAAAGAAGAGAAAGAGAGAGAGAGAAAGAGAGGGGGAGAGAAAAATTGTTGAACAGCTAGCTAGAACAGAAACGCAGGCAGAGGGAGCATGAAGAAAGACAGCGCATCGAAAAAGAGAGAAGAAAAGAAGAAGAGACCAAAAGAGCAGAGTATGAGCGACAAAGGAACCTAGAGAAGGCACGAGAGGAAGAAAGGAGAAGAAAAGAGGAAGAAAAACGCATGCGTTTGGAGAAGGAACTTTGTCTTTGACGACATGAATTGTTCAATTACAAATTTGGCAACAAAACCGGGCTGGGTAGTTTTGGGGGTTTGGAACTAGATTTCGTAACCCAACTCAGGATTGGCGTCTTCGGAGCAACTGGATCAGGTAAAAGCTGTTTTATCAACACGTGTGAACGCACTGTGAGACAAACAGAAAAGGGATCGGCTCCTGACAGCAGCACTGGTCAAGAAGGTACAATCACTCTTCAAGATTATCTCCCTGAATTGTTTTTCCGCTTGGTGGATACTCGTGGTTTCTTCAATTACAACGCTTATGAGATCGAGGAATTTCAAAACATTTTGCACGGGAAGATTCAGCCTTGAGATAACGTGATCCGTTTGCCAGAAGACGGAGCCAGCATCGCATCCGTGAACCATCATCCATGTCCCTCTTTTGCCAACCGACTTCACGGGATAATTATTGTTGTCATGGCGAATGATCCTAGGCTGACAGGAGGAATTCTGGAGAAGTGCTTAAGTCCAGTCCAAGAAATTTTGTGCAAAACTAGTAAACTGCCTCCTCCTGCTTTTACCACTTACTCAATAGTTGTTCAGTTCTGAATACCTTATATATATATATATATTAAGTGAATAATGCTTTTTTCAGTTGTTATCAGCTCAGGGACAGAACATCCATAAAGTCTGATCGAATCATTAAACAGTATGATATCAAATTTTATTGACATGTGATTCAATCTAAACACAAGAAATTTACAGGGCAGGATTTTACACAATGGAAGCTTGATGAAAAAAAGTCAGTTTTTATTAGCCTGAATCCGTCCCCTCGGAAAATGGTTAAGTCTAACTTAAAGTATAATTAAATTCAGTTTTGCCTATGAGAGTCTAACTGGGGCTTAATACTTCAAACCTTACACTCAGATCCAGTGATAACATAAAATGGCACAATCATGGAATAAAATGTAAACCATGGATTAGTAGTAACTGGCTTCTTGGAAACTGCGCTTCGATCCACCCTGGCTTTCAGAAGGCCACTGTGAGGTCGTACGCTCAAGTCTGACCCATGCGATTCATAGTATGTTTCAGAAAACAAACTAATACTTTTCTACTATGAAGTAACTACTTCTTTTTCTAAAGATAGTAGTAGGTGTTAAGGCTGCTTAAAGGAAATTCTCGCTTCCAAACATATCTAACATTAGCATTCTTTTTACTTCCCACATTAGGAATCACCCCGATCACCGTTGTGACGCACCATGACAAACTGAAATCACAAGAGGAGTGTGAAAACGCCCTCCGCCAAGCATCAGCAGCTACCGGAAGTTCATTGGAACACACATTCTTTATACGCAACTACACAAAAGACAACAGTAAACGTAACCCGGAGACAGAGTGCATGATATTCGACATTCTTCACTGCGCACTGCTGACGGCCGAGAAGGCAGTGAAGGTCATGAAACAGAGAGAAATGGAGGAAGACGAGAAGGCATTGAATTCTGTTGAAGGTAACACATAACGTTAACGTGTTACCAACTTTTGAAGCCAACCAAATAAGGAAATCTCTGTGAAGTTTGAACGATCCCGAAAACTTTACCTGAGCGCGCCCAAGTAATAACAAAACCCCAAAGGGCAATAAAGTCTATTCTAGTCTATCATCGGTTCAGTGGTTTAAAAAAACTCCGACTGTATAAGTTACAGGTGATTTCTTCGGAGAAAACGCAAAGCTATCCAATGGGAACCGTTCAATTCGCTACTTGAGAATGAATAGAAGTGTGGTTTTTTTCGCCATCGGTTCATCAGTCTTTAGAAGTCTCTGCTAAAGGATCCTGAAATGGGGGTGAGTCTTATGAAACTTATTTTCAAGAACGTTTACTCAGTATAAGTGGCTCCCAAGAAAATGTGTACGGTAGAAGTCGGAAGGCAACCTCAGCTGAGACCCAAATATCCGAGACTATTTTGTACATTGTAAAATTCAAAGTTTGCTGATAATCTTTCTTCTTAATTTTGCATTAGCGGTTGGCTGGGAGGAGGGGGGGGGGGGTTGTTTCTTTAGTAATCTGGTTTGGGTCTTACTCTATGAATGTTTACATGCGCTTCACTTTGTATGAGTCGTCGGTATTTATTCTAGCTACTAGTACGAATAGTAATTTTAATTTTCATATCGTTGCATAACCATTCAGTGACTTGAAACGGAGCAAAGCCTGAACTCTAAGTGGAGTACGGGACTCTTAGCGGAGTACAAGAACACTATCGAAAGTTTTTGAATAATTCCTTTCCATGGGAGCAGCTCACATGTTTCATGCTGGATTGGATTTCGTTCTGACAAGATCGTATTTCTCTATGTACAAGCCGTCCTCAATGTTTCACCAGCCCTCGCACCAGCCACAAAGTGTTCCTTTTTTTCCAAGAAAGGACGATTAACACTTGGGTGAGCTAAGTTCCTTGTTGTTGATTTTTTTTTTTCATTTTTTAGGTTTAGACACAAAATGAGGATTTAAATCGGAGAATACAAAACTGAAATATTAATTTGGCTGGTTTTGCTTTGCAAGTCTCACTTGTATCTATCTGATGGGCACGTAAATTTCTTACTTCCGCTCACTTCCGGCTTTCACTTTCGAATCATGCTAACAGGGGAGGGTTGAGAACCGGTTTTTGCCCAGTTAAAAAGGGTCTTCCGGCTTCACTTTCACTTTCCGTGGTAATGTCTGAGTAATTCCCTGCAGTTTACTTTCAATTACAACTCTTCAATCATGGCTGGAGAAAGTAGCTGTCATGGCAAAAACTGCCATCCATTTCAGTCCTGACTTGTCTTTCACTTTTGAGCATGAAATAAAAAAGAAGATGAGCCGGTCAAAGGATGACTTTTCACCAACTGGTTTTTCTTACTCTTGATTAAGAGTGGCAAATCTAGTTTTCAACTTTTTTGGTCTATGACCGTGAACATACGAACGCCGCAAAACGTACACTTCTGGGCTTGCTAATTTTCAGTTTCGCGACTCACAATTCCTGAGGGTAAAGTGACGTCTTAGCGACAAAGAAAGGATAACTGTGAAAATTTGCAATCTCTTTGTTGTTATGGGTAACACCTCTGAATTAAGTTTTCTAGGAAACTCAAATGTCGTGAATAGCTGAAAATTTTAGTGCAAACGCTGATTTTTTTCTTCGGCAGGGAAAAAAGTTGAAAGTTTTTCAGAAACTAGATACAAATATCGTTTATTTTGCAGACCTTTCGTTTGGTCTTCAGCAGCTTGTTTGCATACACACTTATCAGGAACAGGCAAGAATGAAAGAGGCTTTGTTTCAAACGGAAGCTTTAGAGTACTACAGACGTATATCAATTTGTTGTCAAAACACTTTCTCACTATGTTTTTTAGTGATCAGCTGTTGAAAAAAGGTTACAGTATTTCTCTGATTAACCATGTGCGAAATTTATAATAATTAATGGTAATAGAGATTGATATGACTAGTCATTTCCCATTTAAAGATACCGTATTTATTCGAATAAGCGCCCAACCTCGAATTAGCGCCCACCTCGAATAAGCGCCCATCCTAAAGGCAGAAAAAGTTAATAAGCGTCCACCCCGTCGTCCTCCCAATCAAACTCAAATAAGCGCTCAACCCTACCCCACTCACTTGAGTGAATAAATTCTAATAAGGACGGAGTTTTCTTCAGAGTATTTTACAGAAACCGCGAGACGGGAGAGGCCTTGTTTCCCGCGTCTCGCGGCTTCGCCGCTCAACGCTTGCGCGCGCGTGAACTCCCTTAACTAAACCTGAAGAAAAGGAGAGACTGCTCGCAGTCTAATACCCATCAGGAGAATCATTACCATCAGGAGCCCATTATTGGCGCCTGTTTCTATTTACTTTTTGCCCAGTCAAACTTGTGTGCCAAAACGCATCATGTCTGAGAACTCGACGGATCTTAAGAGAAAAGACGGACTGCTCGCAGTCTACCTAACCCTCTTAATATCACTATGCGTTGTCTTCACAAAATTTTCCATATACATCTTCACAGGACACTTATATGAAAATTTTTTTACTAATGAAGCCCCGTTTTGCCTGGTGATCATTTGTCCTTAATTACTAAGCAGTGAAATATTTAGGAGAGTGTGGTCACTCTAATGAGGTCTAAAACGACTGGGGTAACGAGGACAAAGAATCTGCCGATCGAGTACGTATCAAAGTAATAACTTTTTGTATCCTTTTCATACTGAGAGTAAATTAAAAACGAAATGACTGAAGCCGGTAAATTGATAATTAGAGGTCATTAAAAAAACGTTGCGTTGTCTTTATCGTCGTTATTTTGGTTTGTCGCACAAATGCGTTCAGTTTTAAAACGCACGTTTCACATGTATATCGCAAAATAATCCATTTCCATAATTTTTCTATTTGTGAAGCTCTAAGCATGCCACTCAAAATGAGCGCAAAAGAAACAAGTCTGGCATTCTCAATTAATCTACATCCTGCACAATATTTACTCTGGGGAGCAGAGATTTTTTTTTTTTTTTTTTTGGCTCTCTTACGGTTTCGGTGATTTTTATCGCACAGAAATACTACTTGCACTCTAAATCCATTGTTATCTCAAATTTTAGTCAATACACTGGGCCAGACCCAGTAGGCTGCGTGGCGGTCGAAAGGGGAAGGGAATTAAGGCGCGAGACCTCGCGTGCCTCGCGCGCCTAAATGTTCCCTTCCCCTTCGCCTGCCACGCCGGCTGCCAGACCCATCTGCTTTAATATTTGGTTTGACTGAATTTTCTTTTGACAAAATGCTTGTCATTTCAATAACCCAAGAAGTAATTGAACATGATATAACAACAAGAACGTAGTCCTTTTACAACTGTAGGAAAATCATTGAAGAAGAACTTTTTTGCACTGTTATTATATTTGTGTTCACCATGAAGGCATATTAAATTTGCAAAATCTATCACTTTCCCAAAGTCTGTATCTAACAAAACATCACTTCCAGTAGTTGATAATACTGGTATGTACACTATACACATAACTAGTCTAAAATTTGCCCTATTGCTGGAGGGGCGGGGGGGGGGTCATCACGTAAATAGTGAATAAAGAAGGAGGGTCAGTTGCTAATAACATGACCTGGAGGGGGGGCTTATAGAAATTTTGATCTTTCCAACATATTTCTATTTTGCTTTCACTATATCGTTTGCCTCCGCATACTGTTGCATAAGAGACAGAATTCTTAAGACGACAGTCAAGTAATGTCGATCACTCCTTACAAAATACTTTATGACTTTTATTCAGCAACCAATGTGTCTGTGAAAGTCGCTTTTAGCCCCTGAGTCTGATGTGATTCGCCTAGAACTGTCCTGCTGGAAGGGTACTCCTAGAAAATTTGGGTCGGAGTGAATGCTTCCCAACCCCAAACTCTCAGTGTTTCAGACCGAAATATGTGAATTTCCCTATTTCAGACAGATCTTCCGTGTTGCTGTATGCCTACTGATTATAGTACTCGATAGCAGTGACTAACGAAAAAAAAAATCCCAGGAGTCAGATGATTCACTTTGATGAGACAAATGAGAAAACGTTCAGTACCTTTGGCAGGTCTGGCAGGTGTGCAAGATTGTTGCATAAATTATGCAATAATTATGCACGCACACCGCCATGAAAACTGGGAAAGGTGTCATAACTACTTTATACAGTATGAGTTATGACGTAATGGGTATAACTCAAGCTTCAGTTCAGGGTGGTTCAAGCCATGAAAGGCTCATTACACCTACGTTGATAACACAGCGATAGAAAGTGAAAGAGCATGGCAAGAGAAATGGAACGGCTGGAAAACGAACGATCTGAAATCGCGATATGCAAGAAATATTACCTGGCCTTCTAAGCATGCGTAGTGCTTTTCCTGCCCAGTAGGCACGTGGGATTTTTCCCAGAAAATAGATGATATGAGTTTCGGGCCTATTTAAAGAAGTGCAAATTCATGGAAAACGTAATGTCATCGCCGAGGGGAATTACTGTTCCTGATGCTAATTTAAAGCAGTTTTTTGTGTTGGTGCGGAAGACTGCAGCAGTTGGACCGGGTGCAGTTAAACAATGGGGGTAAGTAGATGGATTAAATCTTCCTGTTTGTATTTCTTTTAGGGTCACATGCCTGCACTTATCTGCTCCAGCTAACCGATCGATAATTAAAACATACATTCAGGCATATACTGACTTTCAGAAGAAGATAATCGGCGTCTAAATCCGTTTCACCTTGTGTCTGTTCATTACCAGTTGCAAATGTGACGTTGAATCACCTTAGATTTACTTGCTAGCATATTTTCAATTCTAGGAAAGTTTAATTATACATTTACTGATACAAATCCTCCCCCACTTTCTTCCTTGAATCACTCTTTCTTTTAATTTGTAGTCTTTCCATTTTCAGTTTCACTGTCTCGCTTGCTTCCGCATGAGCTAAAGGCAGCCGAAATTCTAGACGACAATAAAGTAATATCAACCATTCCTTACAAAATAAGTTTTGTGACACTTTTATTATGCTGTCTAAGCCACTTACAGTCAACAGTGAGTTTACGCAACAGCACGGCAGGAAGAAGAAGACGGCAGAACGCTCGTGTGTGACAAACGTGACAAGGCTATTTCTTACTTGTTTTGTCGTGATCTTCACTTAACATCAATGTTTTCTGGTCTTTTACAAAAAGATCTGTTTAAAGGAAAGTGAATTTTGGCGAAAAGTTATTTCAAACAAAATTATTGCCACGCTTGTCACACAAGGTTTGCCGTCTTCTTTCCTCTCCCGTCCTGTTGCGTAAGTTCACTAATGTTGAGCTTGCGAGGATAATTTTGAAGTGATTCCACATCCGCCCTCAGGTTGCCGACGTTTGGATCACTTGAATTTTTTATCATTTTCGAAACCCCCCGGGGGACCCTTCTCCTAGGATGAAGAATCTCAGTAGTTAGCTGATTCATTTTGATGGGAATATAACAAAAGCTTTCGTTTTTCTTTAGGGTGGTGGTTCTAGCCATGAAACACATTACACCTACGTTGACGACACAGCGATAGAAAGAGAAAGAGCGCGGCAGAGAGAACTTGAACGGCTAGAACAAGAACGCAGGCAGAGGGAGCATGAAGAAAGACATCGCATCGAAGAAGAGAGAAGAAAAGAAGAAGAGACCAAAAGAGCAGAGTATGAGCGACAAAGGAAACTAGAAAAGGCACAAGAGGAAGAAAGGAGAAGAAAAGAGGAAGAAAAACGCATGCGTTTGGAGAAGGAACTTTGTCTTCGACGACATGAATTGTTCAATTACAAATTTGGTAACAAAACCGGGCTGGATAGTTTCGGGGGGTTGGAACTAGATGACGTAACCCAACTCAGGATAGGCGTCTTCGGCGCAACTGGATCTGGTAAAAGCTGTTTTATCAACACGTGTGAACGCACTGTGAGACAAACAGAAAAGGGATCGGCTCCTGACAGCAGCACTGGTCAAGAAGGTACAATCACTCTTCAAGATTATCTCCCTGAATTGTTTTTCCGCTTGGTGGATACTCGTGGTTTCTTCAACTACAACGCTAACGAGATCGTGGAATTTCAAAACATTTTGCACGGGAAGATTCAGCCTGGAGATAACGTGATCCGTTCACCAGAAGACCGAGGAAGTGCAGCATCCGTGAACCTACATCCATGTTCTACTTTTGCCAACCGCCTTCATGGGATAATTATCGTTGTTATGGCAAATGATCCGCGGCTGAGGAAAGGAACTTTGGAGAAGTACTTAAGTCCATTCCGGGAATTTTTGTGCAAAACTGGTAAACTGTCTCCTCCTGCTTTTACCATTGCACTCTACAGTTGGTCTTGATTACCTTAATATATATAAGTGCATAATGTTTTTTAGTTGAAATGACCTCAATTTCCTTAACAAACAGAACACATTATAGCGATGTCCTCAGGTCATAAAATACAGCATGATTTGAAATTCTATAGTGTGCGATTACCTAAACACCTAGACTGTTCACAGTCCCCTATTTTTTCGTGAGGTCGTCGAGATACAGCGCGTCTTACATTTAATGACGGCAATCTTGATTTTCGAATGCACCGAGGGGGCGGGCGTCGGGGATTATAGCTCTAGGTTTTTCTCGCTTCCTCCCAAACCGCCCTCGTCCGCTAAGTAGTTTTGACACTCATGCAAGATGGCAACCCATAACGCAAAGCGCTCGATCTCGACGATCTTATGGGAAAACAGAGGACTGTGAACACTCGTCTACTAAACACCAGAAGTTCACAAGGTAGGATTTTACAAGTGGAAGCTGGGCGAAAAGCCAATTTTTGTTAGCCTGAACGAGGTCCCTCCTAAGATGGTTAAGTGTAACTAAGGGTTAAGCCAAATTTTAAGTAAGATTTTTTGTCTTTTTAGCTAGGAACTTGTAACTGAACCTTAATACCGCAAACCTTACTCCTAGATCTAGTTCTGATAGCACGAAATAGTACAATAATGGGTTAAAATGTAATCCTTGGATTAGCAATAGGCTTTTATGAAACCGCCCCCGGGTCTGCCCAGGCTTTTTAGCGGCCATTGGGGTCGAACGCTATGGTATGATCAGAAAACAGTTGGAGTCACTTTCTTTTCCTCAGTCTAAGAATATAAGTAGGTGATGAAGCTGCTTTAATGACGAAAGTCTCGCTTCCATAAATATCATCCAACATAAGCATTTTTTTTTCCTTCCCACATTAGGACTCGCCCCGATCACCGCTGTCACGCACCGTGACAAACTGAACTCACAAGAGGAGTGTGACAACGCCCTCCACCAAGCATCAAAGGCTACCGGAAGTTCATCGGATCACACATTCTTTGTACACAACTACACAAGAGACAACAGTAAACGTAACCCTGAGACAGAGCGCATGATATTCGACATTCTTCACTGCGCACTGCTGACGGCCGAGAAGGCGGTGAAGGTCATGAAACAGAGAAAAATGGAGGAAGACGCGAAAGCAGTGAATTCTGTTGAAGGTAACATAGCCTCAACACCCGAGGGAGTACTCGGTTAGGGAGAATTTAGTCTTTTCAGCAATATTCGCGAAGAATTGATAAGTGACAGTACACTTTTGCTGCTTCTCAAAATTCATGTTCCTAATCTCGTTGCTAGATCCCAGGTTAGAGATTTGGGTACGAGATTAAAAGTTACACGTGAGCTCAACCGCAGTTTGCAAATGCTATAAGCAAAGCACTTTAAGCTTAGGTTGTTAGAAACCTCGGAAAAAGCAGACCTCTATTGTTTGTCCCAGCCTTTCTTACTCCCTTTATTTGACTCCCTATAAGACGAACATCTCTCTAAGACGGACACTTAGTGCCAGTCCCAAAGGTGCCTAGCCTATGGACACATATTACGTATTTGTGCCTTTCTTCGAGCCAGAGAGTTGATTGCCTGCGTGCAGACGTTTCCTATGCAAGAGAGTTGGCTATACTTTTTCGATGCGTTTGTAACAGGCTGTTTACTTAATAAACGTTTTGAAAGTTTACTAAAAGGTTCCGAGTGTTTGAAGACCGTAACCGGTGTTGATACCGGCGCAATTTGTCAACAGAATTTTACCAGGGTCAAGTAGGGAGCGAAACGTTTTCAAAGAAAAAACGCTCATTATTTGGTGAAAATAAACTTATTTTTTAATGCACCCTTATCAAGGTTTTGACCTTATGGTGCATTAAATCCCACTAGGCAAAAACAAAAACGAACAAATAACAACAACAAAAATCCCTCAGAGGTTTGACGGCGATGGTCCCGTGAGCGATCGACTTTCCGTTCTCTGATTGATAACTGATCTCTTAATATTTTCAGCACCTGTCGAGGTCTTTCTTCGTCATCTACAAAACGAACACAAGGGAAATCACTGGAGCACCAGCAGCTTAAAAGAGGTTTTGAATAAGCTGACTAAAGATGACGTCACAAACGTCAGGCTGCTCGTCATGTGTTGGAGTGATGTGCAGGCGCACTTTCCTTTGGGAATGAAGAAAACAGTGGAGAAGGAACTCAGAAGCCGGAACATGATAGATTAATTAGAACAAGAAACTAAGAACAGTGACTCTCTGAGTTACAAGGCTTTTATCTCTTTATGCAAGGACAACATAATCCAAAATGTTTGCCTGTTCCGTCTTCCTTTCCTTACTAGATGTGATAGTAAAGTTGCTTCAACAGCCGGTGGTCAAATACAAATCGTAAACTAGAAAAAACGCCTTAGCCCCTTCTTCTCCCCCCGCTCTCCCACAATAAAAAAAGAAAAAGAAACAAAGAAACAAAGAGGAAAAGAGGGAAAACAGAAGAAGAAGAGGACACAACATATTTCCGAGGCATGCCCATTTAAGAAGTGTTCCCGTTTAAAACGACAGAAAATGAGATTCACAACAAATTTTGCGATCGATCGTTAAGAAACAGAAGCTTGAAGATAAGAGAACGTGATCGTTGATAGTATGGCCTATGGCCAGATGTTTTGAACAGTTGGAAAGAATGGGGATGTTTAGCTATGCATGTCGTCTCGTTTAGGAGGGAGACAGTGGGCTTGAGGCAAATATTATCTTAATATTTTAACTTTCTAGATGCAGTAATAGGTTTAAAATGAAGAGGAAAGTTCAGACGATTCCATTCCATCGGTTTAGGCCTCTCACGGCCTGTACACAGACAAGGTTTTATTTTTCTTTTCATTCTTTTTGAAACATCGGCGAGTGAGCGCAGGGCGAAAAGCGAGCGCCTCTATTTTCTTCTTCCCCTGCTACTACCCTCTTGCGCTGGCGGTCAATAAATCCCCCGTGGTTTTTATTTTTTTTATCATGCGCGCTCGACGGACTTTGAAGAGAAAGTAGACCTTTGAACAGGCTAGGGCTTCTAAGCACCTTCCAAGGATAGGAAAGGCTGAAATTGGCCATGGGTCTATCAGACACGAGAGAAGACTCGAAAAGTCCCCGGGTGGGAATTCTTGGTGAGGGTTTGCCGCCCGATTTTCCAAATGCTGACCCAGTTTCAGACAAGAATATGTCATTTGCCACGCCTGCATGTTTTTATAACACACCTCTAAAATTTAGACCTGGCCTTTAGGCAGAAATTATGTCACCATTTCAATCTTAGACTTAAGTACAAACAAAAGATTTCGTCAAATGCATTCCGAATTAGCATATTTCTACTTCAATCTTATTCAATTGAAACTGAAATGATAATTACGTTCATACTCTCCCGTAGTTCCCTTGAAAACCATACCCGATTCCAGACCAAAATGGGCAAAGTATATCATGTTTTTCAGACCAAGAAGGACCAAAAACATTACCCGATGGGGCGTCACATAATTTTATGGCTTGTATAATCTCACCATAGATCAGTTACAGCTACAGTTAGGGTTGTGCGTTAAGAAGAATTAATAAAGACAGGCTCCTGATAAAGAGAAATAAATAATTTCATACGGTGTTGGAGTATGATATCTGTTAGGGGTGGGCTGAAGCCTCGACGATGGGTAGAACATCCTCGTGAAAAGTCAAATTTCTTTTTTTTTATGTCTCAGGCATTTTGCATGATTTCGTGACCAGTTTCATAGTGTCGTGACCAAAATAATAGATGACGTATATTAATTGATTTTATTCCCAGACGTCTTTGCACATTTTTTCGTGTTGTCACCGATGCCTCATTGACCAAGGTTTACACGGGCTTTATACATGGGTTTTTTTATCGGTTAACAGCAGAAATATTGCGAATGAGCAAGTTTTGGAGGCTTTGCTGCTGAGAAGTCAAATTAAATTGCCAAGTGACATCAGTAGTCCCATTAGAGAAAGGACAGTTAGAAGGACTTGGATACCGACATAAACGGTTTAGTGCTTCCGCCTCATCAAGCTGGGTAAGTTATGTTTCTTAATTTAACTAAAGGGTCTTTTAGTAAGAGCATTCTTTTGTCTGTGATTGGAAACATGGAGATACTTCTCTCTTCCAGCCTAAGCAGTAAAAGATAAGACGCTTTTGTTAGGAGCAAATCCAAGATATCAGTAAGGCTACGGCAGAGGTATTTTGCACCTAATGACTCTGAGTTTAATGATTGGAGTTAGGGAACTGAGTGAATTAGTTTCCATTTAGGATTGTTATAGTGGGAAGAAAACTGACCTGAAACTTGATTCACTCAGTTTCCTTACCTTCCTGCTTCATTACGCGGAATGGCCTAGTCAGCCAGCGTAAATTCGGGAGCGCATTCCTTTCGTATTTTTCTTGGGAGTCAAAAATTGCCTTGTTACGCGGGATGACGTAGTCAGCCAGCGTCTAAAATTCGGTAGCGCATTCCTTTCGTCGTCTTGGGAGTCAAAAATTGCCTTGTTTTTTTAACTTTCCCGTATCCCGTGCCCGTCCCGAAAAATTTTGTGGATTTTTATTGGCCGCAACGTCGAAGCACGTGCAAGTCAGGCTGGATTGCACAAGCCGATAAAAGATACTGCGTCAGCAAAGGAGGGAAAAGTAAGCTCACTGTGTAGAGGAGGATGAAGACTCAAGGCCATGCTCTTAATACGGCCTCGGGCGACTGAAGATATTGTCTAGGTGGCCCAGCCGGGCGACTTGCTGGTGTTGGTTTCTTGTTTCTGTTGATGAGTTACAGTCAAAAAGCTAAGAATGTCTAGAATTTATTACTTGCGAAATCGTAGCTCTCTCGGTGGCTTCGCGGCCTAAAAGGAACGCTCTTCTCGCTAAGAAACTCTTAAGGTCGACTCTGTAAGTAGCAATAAGTAGCATGTCTACCAAAAAGCTTTAGGAAAATGTTGTTAAATCGGGCAGCGGGCACGCGTTGATGTTCAAAGGTCGTTTCACGTAAATTCACATGTAACATAATCCTTGACTATGAACGTGACAAGCTGCACAGTTTTCGATAGTAACAGCTGTTCATAGTGAAATTAAAATTTTTTCTTCACATTAGGATTGTTCATTAGTTAGTTTTTCAAAACAAGTTGTTACTTTTGCTCTGACAGGCGTGAAGTACGGTCGGCCACGCAAAACAATAGTTTTGTATTTTGAAAAATCGCTGAATAAACAAGGGAGTCGGTCCTTTACGTTCTTTAAATATTTTTACCTTTTTTACTGCTGTTTCTGCGAGGATAAAACATAACTAAGATTGTTATTCCAGTAAACTACGATGCATAAAAAAAAGAGACGACTATTATAATTGTGATTGTTCTAGAATCGGGTATAAATCCCGCATTGTCTTTCGTGTCGTGACAAGGCATTACGTATCACGTACTAAAAATAAATACGCAAAAGCTAACCGAATCAACATTTGTCCTGAACATTTCACCGGTAATATAGAAAGAAAATACTTCCGTTTTGCGCTTAAACGACGACTTTACAACAAGATGATCTATTCAAAAGAGATAATAGTTTTGGGGCGGCCCCCGGTGAGGGGGGGGGTGGCGCTTCCTTATAAAGAGGCTAATGGGGATGTGCGGCTGGGTGGGGTCGCATTTTCACGACTAGATTGACTATTAATGGGGTCGCATTTTCAAAAGAGTTACTAGAATGGGGTCGCACATTTTCGGATTTTTGGGGTTAGAGAGCTGTTCATATTTACGGTTAGCAAACCTATCAGGATATTTGTACTGTAGGTGAAAAGTAAAGTGTTCTTCATTCAATTTATTTAAAAATGGGTCAATTCATTTTTTGATGACCTATTGAAAGGATTGATAAGGTCAGGAGATAAGGTAGATACATAAATAGAAAGTGACTAAGTTGTGATCGCAAAAATTACATATTTCTACAAGAGTGACTAATATGGGGTCTACAATTGGCCACAGAGAAGAAGACTATAATGGGGTAGGGGCTCTGAGAGGCCAGCGGCAAATACCCAGCAAAAATTAACGCAAGTAACCCCCGGGGGGCGCCGCGGTTTCGTTGAATTCATAACAGTTTTCCTGGAAAGCTCCACGGGATCTCAGTCAATCTTAATAAGCGAATTTTCTTTTCAACCTAAATCAAAATGATTAGTAAAAAGAATAGTGCCCTTAATTTTGACCCCAAATTTACTTTTCCATTTAAAAAACATGAAATGTTCGGCTGCGTTGTCCATGTTTCTCATATGGAGCGAAAACTTACTTTCATATGACAACATGCGGGTTTTTTTTTTCGCACGCTCAGGAGGTCAAAGGGATGTGATTTTTCATGAAAAAAATATTCACAAAATTCTGCTTGACTTGTTAAGAAAATCATTTGTTTGATTTTTCATAATGAACTCACAGCTCACTGATTTATTAATTTGGGCGACCAACTTAGAGGCCCGGGCACCCCAGCTAAAAATGCCTGTGGAGCCCAAAGGGGTCTCTGAAATTTTCCCTACAGCACTTCCTTGCAGCCCTGTAGTTATTGGAAGTATGATACATTACATGCTATTGTTAAATGTGGAAGTGCATTTTTTGAGGACATTAGTAAAGGAATGCAAATGTTAGTGAACTACCCCATACTCCTAACATATGGTGATAATATTGATGTAAGTTTTGTTTTGAGTAGCAAAGGAACCCTTGTGTGTAACTCATCTTCTAGTGTATTAGTCCTTAACAGAACATCTCCGTCTCTCCTGCACACATTTGTTGCATACACTACTCAACTTCCATTTCCATCCAACATACCCGTAATTCTTTCTTAAACCCACACATCCCGCGTAAGCGCCTTCGGGCGTCTTCTTGTTTTTTAACTTTCTCGTATCCCGTGTCCGTCCCGAAAAATTGTGTGATTTTCATTGGCTGCAACTTCGAATCACGTGCAAGTCAGGTTGTATTGCACAAGCAGAAAACAGATACTTCGTCAGCAAAGAACAGTGGGAAAAGTAAGCTTACTGCATAGATGAGGACAAAGACGCAAGGAGTGTGCTCTGACGACGCAAGACTTGGCCTTGGGCGACTGAAAATATTGTATCGGACGCCCAGCCGGGCGACATGCTGGTGTTGGTTTCTTGATTTACAGTCAAAAAGCTAGAATGTCTAGAATTTATTACTTGCGAAACGTATTTTACTATTTTAGTATTTTAACGGTAGATATAGGCATACTTTTATCCCCTGAAAATTGTTCATCTGTTCGGATTTCCTAGCTGAAAGTCTACTGATCCGAAAATTATAGGGATCAAAACTTACCTTTTCGAAAATTTCAGCCAGAAAAAAAGGCTCCCGAAAACTCTAGGTGACCTTTTTAGAGTAAAAATCCGTTGAAAATGGACAATTATACCATTTTAGATGTTCGAAAATTCTATAAGAGGCAGGCAAGCAAGAAATTTTACAATAAATGTTCCGAAAATTCTAGATCTCAAATCGTCCTCCGAACAGATATTTTCCGAAAATTGACTTTGGGTGCCCCTGTTAAATCGGGCAGTGGCCCCTCGTCGATGTTCAAAGGTCGTTCCTTGCGAATTCACATGCAACATAATCCTTGACTAACGTGACAAGCTGCACAGTTTTCGACTTTAACAGCTTTTCAAAGTAACATTAACTTTTTTCAAATGAAATTGTTACTTTTGCTCTGACAGGCGTAAAGTACGGTCGGCGACGCGAAACTATAGTTTTGTATTTCAAAAATTCGCTGAATAAACACGGGAGTCACTCTTTTTATGTTTTTATGTTAATTAAATATTTTTACCTGTTTAAATACGCAGCTAGCTGCCACCAAATCCACAAAAAGCTCATTTGTCCTGAACATTTCACCGATAATATAGAAAGAAAATACTTCTGTTCCGCGCTTAAACGACGACTTTCCAACAACGTGATCTATTCAAGAGATAATAGTTTTGGGGCGACCGCGGTTTCGCTGAAATCATAGCAGTTTTCCCGGAAAGCTCCACGGGTTCTCAGTCAATCTTAAGCGAATTTTCTTTTAAACCTAAATCAAAATGATTAGTAAAAAGGATAGAGTCCTTACTTTTTAACCAAAAATTTTTCTAAAAAATGCATTAACAGACCAGAATCTTACTTTTCCATTTAAAAAACATGAAATATTCGGCGTTGTACTTTCATATGACAACATGCGGCATTAGGAGGTCAAAGGATGTGATTTTTCATGAAAAAAAAATCACAAAATTCTGCTTGACTTGTTTAGAAAATAATTTGATTAATTTTTAACAATTAACTAACGGCTCACTGATTTATTAATTTGGGCGATCAACTTGGAGGCCCGGGCACCCCAGCTAGCCCCAGTTTTAGCCTCGCAGACCCAGCAGTAAAAAAAGGTAAAAATATTTAATTAACATAAAAGACCGACTCCCGTGTTCATTCAGCGATTTCTCAAAATACAAAACTATTGTTTTGCGTCGCCGACCGTACTTTACGCCTGTCAGAGCAAAAGTAACAATTTTTTTTCAAAAACTAACTAACGAACCATACTAATTTGAAGAAAAAATTTCAATGATATTATGAAAAGCTGTTACTATCGAAAAATGTGCAGCTTGTCACGTTCATAGTCAACGATTATGTTACATGTGAATTCACCTGAAACGACCTTTGAACATCAACGCGTGCCCGCTTCCTGATTTAACATCATTAAGTTTCTTAAAGCTTTTTGATAGACATCCTACTTATTGCTACTTACAAGTCGACCTCAAGAGTTTCTTAGCGAGCGGAGCGTTCTTTTTAGGGCGCGAAGCCACCGAGCGAGCTTCGATTGCTAAGTAATATCTTAGCTTTTTATCAACAGAAACAAGAAACCAACACCAGCAAGTCGTCCGGTTGGGCCACCTAGACAATATTTTCAGTCGCCCAAGGCCAAGTCTTGCACCGTTAGATCTAGAGCACAGCTTTGAGTCTTCGTCCTCCTCTACGCTGTAAGCTTACTTTTCCCTTCTTTGCTGACCACTGTTTGCTGACGAGTATCATTCTTCTGCTTCTGCAATCCAACCTGACTTGCACGTGATTCGAAGTTGCAGCCAATAAAAATCACACAATTTTTCCGAACGGGCTCGGGATACGGAAAAGATAAAAAACACAGGGAAATTTTTGACTCCCAAGACGACGAAAGGAATACGCTCCCGAATTTAAGACGCTGGCTGACTTCGTCATCCCGCGTAAAAATACCGTAAATGCTCGAAATAGCGCCAAACTTCAAATAAGCGCCCCGCTTCGAATTAGCGCACTTCCTAAGGCTTAAAATGTGGAATAAGCGCCCCTTCCCCCCCCCCGAGAAAAAACGAGGTTCAGTACTCGGTACGATATACGAGACGTATACGGTACTTTTAATGAATGTGACATTCGTAATAGTACAAAATTAATGTTCTTCAATGTCGTACGGGCTTGCTTCTTATTTTCTTGATAGAAATATCCATGTGAGCACATAGGTGCTTCACTTAAATTAAGTTCCTCGTAAAACTTTTCTCCCAATCGCCTGCATCTTGTTGCTATATGTTACAGTTTTGGCGTAACTAGAAAGAAAGAAAGTGTCATTTTGAGGCCAAAAATTGATAAACGAAATAAGCGCCCCACTTTCGAATTAGCGCCCCCCTCTCGCCTTAGAAAATTGAACAAGCGCCCCGGGCGCTAATTCGAGCATTTACGGTAAATACGCAAAAGCTAAGGTTAAAGTAGAGCTAGCTGGCTACTGAATCCACAAAAATCTCATTTGTCCTGAACATTTCACCGATAATATACAATGAAAATACTTAAACAGACCAGGATCTTACTTTTCCATTTAGAAAACATGAAATATTGGGCGATGTTTTGCCAAGGCTCGATCACCAGCCGCTGTGCGGGAAATGAGCGCGCACTCATCCCCCGAAGGAAGCGGAGGATCAAAAACCGGACCCGGGAGATGGCGGAAATCGAGCCTACGTTTTGCCCTTGTTTTTCATATGGCGCAAAAACTTCGATGGGTATCATAGTCCATATGACAACAGTCGGGTTTTTTTCGCACGCTCGGGAGTTCAAAGGATGTGATTTTTCGTGAAAATAAAAAAGTTAAAACAAAAATAAATTCACAACGTTTTTTGGTCATTGAATCAAATTTCTGTTCATATTATTTGAAGAACTTCCTTTCACATTTATAAAACTATTCATAACATATAACTTTGCAGCGCTCTATTAACTTTAGTGTCAATAATTTTATATCAATACTAAAACCATAAACTGGTGCATGTCGTCGCGGCTTGAAGTCTTAGTTATAATCCTAGCGCTATTACAACGGAAGACGTTAATTGAAACAAAAAATGGCACTATTCGACTGTGCGATCAATGAAAAATGTTGCAGTGTTGAAGGAGGACGGAGCATTTGCCCTCTTTTTTCGTCCCCACCCCGGGGGATTTGACAGCTCAAGAGTCCCCACCCCCGGGAATTTGCCATCCAAGGCAAAAAAATTGCTAATGCCCGGGGGTCAGTCCCGGGGGGGTGCTGGGCGCAGGCTGGAATTGACTGGTGCATAAAATTCTGAAAATTTCATATGTAAGACGCCGTTTTGTGAAATTTGACATTTATTTTCTCGGGCTCCCATTAGAAATTTTCTTTGATGTTATTACAGATGACTGATTACATCTTTAGCCCTTGAAAAATGTAAAAAAGAATGCAATATGCTCTAAATTATTCTGGTACAAGGTTTTTGTCCACAGTAAAAACTACGGACAAAACATCACGACGTTTCGACCGATCTTCGATCATTTTCAAGTTAGTAAAAAGTTAAAAGAATTAGCATATATATGTGTATGGTGTAAAAATATGTTAAGAACTATAAAAAATATACACTTTTGACTTTGCGAATGAAATCCAACAGCTTTCAATCAACAACGGTGATATCCTAGTTTCCTACGATGTTTCTTCCCTGTTTACCAATGTGCCTTTGGATGAAACCATACAGCTACTCATTGATATGGCTTTCACGAACAATTGGTTCAATGAAACGTACGAAATTCATCTCAGTAGAGAAGACCTTGTCGATCTTCTCAAAGCAGCAACTAAAGGTCAACTTTTCATTTTCAATGGTCAGCTGTATGAACAAACAGACCAGTGGAGGATCCAGACCTTCAGATAAGGGGGGGGTGGTCATCCAGACCCTGAGATAAGGGGGGGGCTGGTCTAAAAAAAATTTTTTTTTCGGCACTTCGGGCCTCATTTTGGTCTAAGTATTAGGGCCGCCGGCCTCTCCCCTAGATCCGCCACTTCAGACGGTGTCGCTATGGGATCCCCTCTCGGTCCTTTACTCGCTAATGTGTTTATGTGTAGCATTGAAGAAAGATTGGAGCAGGAAGGCAAGATGCCCACATACTACAGGCGATTTGTTGGTGACACACCGACCGTCATTCGAAACAAAACATCTCTGGAGAATCTTTCTTGAGACTTTCAACCAGTGTCACTCCTCCGTTATGTTCACCGTGGAGATTGAAAGCAACTGTATGCTTCCCTTCCTGGGCACCCAGCTCCTCAACAGACCTTCACGATGTGGAGACCAAAGTGAATGTCAAACCACGAACACTGGCCTTTTTTCGCATTACAACAGTCACGTAGACGTTCGATATAAACGGGCGTTGCTAAGAACTATGCTTGGTCAGTGCTTTCCGACTTGTGTCCAACTGGTCATATTTCTCCGAAGAATGCGATCGTCTTAAATTACTTTTTCCCGGCTAAAGTGCCCTAACAAACTCATGAACTCTACCATCTCATGCTTTATTGCCACAAAGGTTTTTGATCAACCTGTTTCTTCGGCCGCGGCTGTTTCTGATTAATCTGACCCTGTTCGTGTTATTTTACCATTTGAAGACCAGTCCTCAGCTGACATCGTTCGACGTCACCTTCAGGATTTGAGTCACAAAATTTACAAGACCGTGTCTCCAGTGTTTGTCAGCCAAAAGATTGAGCGCGATCTTAAAATGCGAGAAGCTAAGCCACCTCTTGTCAACCAGCAATGTCTTAATAATTTTAACATTTCAAAGAAGTGTAAAAGTAAATTTGACGGCGTGGTGCTTGAAATGTTTTTTACTAATGAACTGTGGTCACAATGTACAATCCGACTCACTTCGTGCAAAAGTTTTTAAATAGCTCTTTTAATTAGATTCTAATTGTTCTTTTCCTGCATGCTTTACTTCATTCTTTTATAGTTTATAAGAAACGTAATTTACACCTTACACATATAAGCTAATTCTTTAAACTTTTTACATACTTGAAAATGACCAAAGATCGGTCGAAACGTCGTTATTCTTGTCCGTAATTTTAAGTATGAAGAAGTTTAGAAAACCCTTAAGCCCTTACTTAGGTTTTTGTCCACTGAAAATTATAATTAAAATTACTCAATTTTGTGAAGGATTCCGTCTTCAAGTCTTTCTATTCTGACTTCTCTTTTCCGTCTAGGAACTTTACCAAAAACCTGTTTGGCGTGAAAGAACACAGGATAGTAATGACTAAATGCATAACACTCTTGGCAAGTGAATGGAAGTCCTCTAAAGGCGGCGTGTCAACCATAAACAGGGAGCTGGCCATTCAGTTCGCCAAGCTTTCTAATACATCGGTTAGTTTCTTTGTCCCAACATTTTCTGACGAAGACAAGAGAGAAGCTAGCAAATACAATGTAAAATTAGTAAAAGCAGAAGAGCGACCTGGATTTGACCCTATTGATTGGTTGACTTTTCCACCGAAAGATCTTGCGATTGACTTTGTTATTGGACATGGTGTAATACTTGGAAAACAAGCACAGATAATACGGGATTCTCACCAATGTAAGTGGGTGCAAGTAGAACATACTGCACCCGATGAACTTGCAGTGTACAAGGAATATTCTAGCGCCATCCCCAAAGGTGAAAAAAAACAATCGGCTGAGCTAAAACTGTGTGAAATGGCTGATCTTGTCGTAGCAATTGGACCAAAATTAGCAGAATTTTACGCAGCCCGTCTTAACTTCTGCGGAAAAAAAGTTTATGATTTCACTCCAGGTATATTTAATGAATTTGCATCGTTAAATGTATCCTCAATGCTGAAGGGTAAGAAGTTTCGAATTCTAGTATTTGGCCGAGGTGATACTGAAGATTTCAAACTTAAAGGATACGACATCGCTGCTAAAGCAGTCGCCAAGCTGGTCGATAAGACTTACCATCTCATTTTTGTGGGCGCATCCAAAGGAAGTGAATCCGATGTGACTAAAGAATTGCTTAAGTATGACTTGTTGCAAAATCAGCTCATTGTTAAAGGATATCTTGAAAACCGCAAAGATCTGCGAAACCTCTTATGTGCTTCGAATCTTGTGATCATTCCTTCTCGAACAGAGGGTTTCGGCTTGACAGCTCTGGAAGCGTTGTCGGCTGGTATACCATTTCTTGTCAGTCAAAACAGTGGATTTGGAGAAGCTCTTCAAGAGATACCTCGTGGATCAGCTTTCGTCGTGGATTCTGAAGATCCAGAGGACTGGGCTGAGGCCATTAAAGTTACCCGACAGAAAGGCAATGAAGGAGCATTCCAAGAGTGTCAAGAATTGCGTGCACTCTACGCAGAGAAGCACAACTGGCAAACGCAGTGTGTTGAACTTTTCAGTATGATGAAATCTTTGATCAACGGTGAGTATTGTACAAGCGCTGACATCAATTAGAAGGTTGTTCTATGTCCTCTTTAATGTATCGGGTGTCAAGGCTTACCACAGCACTTCTTTACACTTAAACTTCAAGGGACTTTTGTATTTGTTCCTTGTTGATTTTTACGTACGTTGTACTTTTGTTTTGTTCTTGTGTCTGTGATGGGCTAAAGTCATCTTGGCCCATCCTTTTCATATGGCACACGAGGCCTCAGCTCCGAAAAGAGTGCTGCTCCCCAAAGTTGTGTGTACCTCACCCTAAGTCTTTCATCCTGTTTTTTTTTTCGTTTCTCCTGCCGTCTCTCCATGTTTTCTTGGTCTAGCCTGCTTTCGTCGTCCATCGATTCTGGAGTCAAAGTATCTGTCTTCATGACTGGGCCCGTGAACTGCCGTGCTAAGGTTTGGAAGAGTCAAAACCTCGGACAAAATTCTTGAGCCAGTGGCAGCTATTTTCTACTTTAAAAGTGACAGAGGCATCTAAACAGAAACAAAGTTAGCCTCTCCCCACCTACTATTCAAAGATGTTATGGTTAAAAATCCCAAGAAGTAGAATTCTGGTGTTACCGTCAAACAACTTTTAGGGACTTTAAGATTCAACGACGCGAAGGCAACGAGAAAGTGCAGGTGTAAGAAAAAAAACAATTGGTTTAATAAGTAAAATAACAACTTTGCATGTGCATCACCCTTTTTTGTAGATTTCTTTGCCGCTTTTGCACGACTACGACGTGATTATGCCGAATTTCGTGTTTTACGAGGAACGTAAAAAAGCATCGACGAAATTGTATTGCGCTTTCTGAACTTGAATATGTTCTCTTGGAATTCAAATTCAGGAGGGTTCGCGTGCATTTCAGAAAGTTAGTAAGTAGGAATAATCGCGGTAAAGACAAATTCACTTTTTGAGTGACGTCCTCATATACAGCCTCTGTCACGGCTTTTTCACAGACAGGTTTATTTTTACATACTCCGTCTAAGGCACATTCGAAAGATAACGTATGAAAAAGGAAAACTAAACGTTCTAAAAATACGCCAAAATCGTTCTACAAAATTAACTGATCCGTGAAAATGCCGTGACACAGTACATGGAAATTGCTTGCCACAGGTTATGGGCTCCTGACAAGGAGACGGGGCGTAACTGGTCGGAAACTTTAATTCGTGTCCTGTCAATGACAATTTTTCCCATGACCACGGCTAGAAGGAATGTAATTTCGCACGTCCAGTTATTACATTCTTTTTGTTGAAATCAGCACATTCTATATTTAGGGTTCTTCAATTTAAAATGTTCCCTCTGAAAGAAACAGCCTTAAATGAAAGGCTCCAGATAGAAAAACTTTTGTATTAACTATGCTTTACCTCCGAAACAAGCACACGGGAATCCTTGTTTCATTTGTTCCCCATTTTTACTTAATTGAACTTGTCATTTTCTAACTGAAAACTATTTTTATAAAAATAAAACGTTGAAATATTTGCGTGGGGGCGCCAGCGCCCGTAAAAAGTAGTCTAAAATAACTTAATAGAAAGAAAAATTCAGTGCCACCCAAACGGAAGCCAGAAGTAGTGTAAAAGGTTTAACCTTTTTTTTTTCAGAAAGTGACGAAGTAGGGAATAAAGAAGGAACTGCCGAGGTTCAGCCACCAACAGCCCCGAGGCCAAAATGGTATGCAAAATGGTCGCCACTGCTTAACCCAAAAACGCGTACCTCTAAAATGGATTCTCCAGTCGGACCTAACAACCAAGGGACCAGACCTAAAGAAAAAATCTCAGTATCAACAGGATCAGGTTAGAGAAGGTGTTTTTCATTGAAAAATGCTAGTGAAAAATCCAAAAACGCCTGAAATTACCCAACCCTCCGAAAGCTTAGCCCGATTTTCAGGCATTCAGTTGAAACGGCTCCAGGATTTGGGAAGAATTCTCCTGTGGCCAAACAAGAAAGGATAGGGGGATGCGAGAATGCACCGGACCGGGGCAACTTGGTTTAGTTAAGTACTAAATGGTATCCTTCTTAACACAGTTTTGAGACCTGTCTACCATAATATTTCTGTAGTCCTTTCCCAGTCTAGAGCCTGTATAGCTGAAGATGTAAGATTTTTAAAAGGTAACTTGTTCGCTCCTGTAGACTTGGTAATTCTTGGCTGCAGTGTATCTGAGGAGATCATATTCGCTGTGGTGCAAGAAATTGAACGTATTCGTCCAATGTTGAATCTTCATCTACAACCTCCAGCTATAAACCTTTCACCTGTCCTAGCAAAGCAGTACATGGAAGAAAACACGTTTCGGTCTTGCGTGTTGGTGGTCGATGGGGAAAGAATAAAAGACGCTTACGAAAATCCGCTTGCTCTAACAGATGAGTATGAAGCCCTTCTGAAAACGGCAATGAAGAAAATTGGTAAGATAAGGCACAAACTTTGTAGAAATTTTTTGTCACTTCCTTTCTTATAATTCCATCTTTACGACCTTATCAACGTTTGATAGTATCAAATATTGTTGTTCGTCAGTTTTATCCTTAGTAGTTAAGTTTTTTCCTTGTAGTGAGCAAACAAATCTGATCGTATATTACAATATGCATATCCAAAACAAAGTAAAAAACCATAAAATACGATTGACTGACAAATATTATTATAAACTGAATCATTGGATGGTGCAATTCTAGAGCTCTGATTGGCGTAGCCATAATGCTATATGAGCCATTTTACCATGCACTCCAAATATGGTAACTGTACGCGTCTGCTCAAAATTAAAAACAAGCTGAAAATCGGTTGTTTTTACAAATAAAGTGGGGAAGAATTCTCGATATTTTGTGCCGGAGCGTTTTTAATAAAACAATTATTCCACTCTCGCTTGTTGGATATGATATGATTATAGCCAACTCGGCGCTACTGGCCTCGTTGACTATTTACCATCTCATATTCAACTCGCACTTTTGGAATAATTGTCAAATATGTTAGCCACATAATACGTTAGCATGGCAGCCCTAGCCCCTGTGTGCAAAATTGCTCCTGACAGTCAAAGAACTGAAGAAGAAGTTGTTAAATTAAAAGACGCTGATGCCCAAAATACAAGTACTGTTCCCTGATTGCAATCGTTACAACAAAATTGTCTCGTTTTAGTTATCTGTAAAGGTAACCTGTTATGAGGGCTTCCGTCAGCGTATCTTGTAATCATATGGTTTTGGTTATAAAGAAAATTTGAAGTGAAGAGCATGTCTAAACTTACCAGTAGTATAGCTGTAAGAGACGTGAGAAAGGCCAACAAAGGAATGTCATAAAATTTTGGCATGCGATGTTTCTTAAAGATGGAATCTGAGGTAGATTAATTTACAATTGCTTTCACTGTCTTCATGGGCTTTTTTAGAGTCACAAGACGACATAGATTCGTTGGAAACCCAGACAATGTGGCAGTAATTACAGGGAAAATAATAATAGCTTCTGCATGTCACTGCTATGTCGAAAATTCTTTCTGTCGTCCTCCCTATCTCAAATCCACGATTAATTGGTCAACTACAAAAATCTTTAGTTCAAGTAATATCTAAACTCCAAACTGAACTAAAAGAGCTCACGGGAGGCAGGAGGCCATAAGGGATACGTCGTGCCAAATCCTTTGAATTCTTCTTGCATTTAACATTAAATGATGTCTCCAACTTCTCATTAATTACGGTGACGCCCTGTTAATATCATTATACTTATTTTTGCTTTGCAGCAAACAAGGTTATCATTCTGGTCTGTTACAGCCGTTTTATGTCGGAGAATGACGAAGAGATGGTCTATCAATCCATATGCCGTGCTGTCAAAGAAAATGAAAAAGGATTTATCGCTTGGTTAAAGGATGGCAGACTAACTGTAGACACTGATGTCATGGCACAGTTTCTGAATCCCGCCTCAGCCATGCCGTATATGATGCTACCGAACAGTCAACAAGGAGAGGTTCAAGTACAAACCAATGTTTTCTTGCTTATTTAGGTCAAAATTAATGCCATGTTACACAGCCCGTACAGAGTAGAGAAAAGGATTAAAACTGGTGCGAAAAGAGCTTTCTTCGCCTCATGTCCCCGAAAAAACTCACAGATAACATCAATTTGGAAGCTTTGATTTTGAAACAAAGTAGTCAAAGTGGCTTGCCCACTACTTAATAATCCTGCCTCAAAAACGTGCTGTCTTTTGCGTTGTGTAGTAGTAGGATGAGAAGGACTTTGTCGTATAAAGTTGTTGTAATCGAAAGAGAAGGCATCGAAGCGTACACTTTCATTTAATACTGCAGAATATTATATTTTTGGTTAGTCCATTGACGTTTCTAACAAATGAGGGTACCATGATCGGGTTTCCCACACCGGAGTCACTAGTGTCAATTGGGAGACTGGCTGTCGCAGAACTTGCTTTAGACAACGCCCTATCAGGGCGAATGGAGGGAATGCATATCCTCCGAGCTGGTTTTCTTGCTTTTAGATCTGGCTTCCAGCTCATAAATCTTGGCAACTTAGCTGTCGAGGAGCCCGTTTGCTGTTGTTGGGTATAGTTGCCAATTTCTGGCATCTGGTTGGGCCCAAGTTTCGATACCAGCCACTATCTTTAAACGCCCTAGCAAATGTAGCCTGCGAGCAAGCTCTCCTGCCTCGCGAGAACGCCGGTCGCTCGCGCGTTCTCGCGATACTCGCTTCGCTCGCCCAAATAGGAGAGCTTGCTCGTAGGCTATAGCAAATGGTGCGCTTCGACTGTAATTGAGCGTTTGAGGCACCATTGCTAGAGGTCGAAGGAAAGAGTTGATGGACGGTGCCGACAGTATCAAAGAGCCGATTACTGATTAGTAATCGGCTCCTGGGTGCCGACCAATAGTGTTGACCCACCCATGTTGGTTATATAACTGATCGCTGTTTAGGGTCTGCCGGATTATGCTCGAAAAATAGAGTATTATGCTTTCGGGCGTCACCCGTGAAACTAGGGTATTATGATCAAAATTATACTCGACTGGAGGTATTATGCTCAAATTATGCCGGACTAAAATGACACTTCCACCCCACCCCCCCCCCCCCCCATCCCCCCATAGGCTTGTATCTATTAATAAAGATTCCTAGTCTTTTATTTTTGAAAGAATTGTTAGACAATAATTATTCAGTTAAACATTTTATGAGCAAACGAAAGGTCGGAAATTGTGAGGCATTGAAAGGCTTACTATATGTCTTTCTCTAATGAACTTGGATTATAGCAAAATGCACGGGGTACGAGTCTAACGTATCAAGTTAAAATATTCCCACTTTTATCAACCTTGTACATTCTAGAGCGTCGCTAAGAGCGAGTTGCTGGCAAATTTGCATACATCTCTCACAGTTTTCAGAAACAGAGGCATTATGCTCCAAACATATTAGTCTTATGCCAGCATTATGCCTGATGCTCCAGATATAGTATTATGCTCAAAATTATGGCGGCATAATCCAGCAGACCCTATCGCTGTTGTATTGTCCTTGAGCAACAATACACGGATGTAGCACTTGTTTCTATGGAAGATTCTAGAGCGACCCCCACCTCCCCCTGCTCTAAAAGTAACGAACAGTTTATGTGCAAAAGCCGTTTTGATTGGGACCATAACCCTCTGGTCTGAACATCCCCACATCGTGTTCCCCACCCTACAGCGTGCTCCCCACCCCACCTTGGAGGTATCTCTCTCGATTGTCAATTGGGCACACAAGCGGTCTCTCCCCCACTTTCACTCGTCCAGGGCTTCTACAGTCCAGCACACTGTGGACTTTGTAACCCCCATGCATAGCTAGGCTGTGTTTTGTACCTGCCTGGATGTAGCCTGCAGTGAAGGCGTTTTCTTCCGGCGCGCAAATGTTTTTGTTAGCGAGAGCGCCATGTTGAAACTTCCGGAAGAGAGGAGGAAATGGGGCGAGCCAAAGGGAGCGGGGACGGGGCTTCCTTCTTTTGCCCTCGCACTTACCCCAAGGGTTACTATTTCTACTCTCCCCAATCTTCCACTGTCATAAAATCTAAGATGGCGGCTACACCAATACGAACACGAACAAGGTTTCGCCCACCCAAGCCTGGATGTGACGATAGTAGAGAGGCTGGAATGACGGTACTTAGCTTTCTTATTAATCGAGCCAGATCCGTTATAATTCATTCGTTTCTGATATTCTTCACCTCGTTTAGAGGGAAGATGATTTCGAGAGCTACTTAATTTATAAGGAATCCCTGAAACTCTACTGACTGGGTAGGTTTGAGACGGGATTTTCAGTAATCTACTACAAATACTAGGGAGTTTTAGCATCGACGACGGCGACGGCAGCAAAAACGTCACTTTTAAAATGAATTCGCGTTTTTTTTTTTTTCAAATTTTGTCGCGCTTATTCCAATTCCCTGAAAATGTCAAGTGTAGGCGAATTTCCCTGGAGTTCATTTCTTGAGGACCACACTTAAAGGAGAATTCGTTGTCGCTTAATTACGTCCTCCATAAAACGTGAAATTAGGGATTTTCACGCCGTAGTCGTACAGTGACGGCAAAGAAATGTACAAAAAGCGTGATGCACGTTCAAAGTTGTTGTCTATTGCGACCTCGACCACATTGGGACGAGGAACATCTTTGTTAGTTTGCCTTCGTTCGCAAGCAGACAGCGGCTTATCTGCAAACAAGACGTTGAAAAGGCTAGAACGTTCTTCGGACGCATCCCAGCGCCCAGCAGGAATGGTGAGGTCGTCACTCAAGATTTACCTTGAGATGGGTCCCGACGCTTGCTGATGGACTCGATTTCTACAGCAGTTGGACTTCCCAACATGCCGCTATGTTTAGTGAAGCAAAAAGGCGAGGTTGTCAGGGGGCACCGGCAGCCATATGGCTAATAGAACGGTACATTCCGGTTGCACAGACCCGACCCAAGCCGCCGCGCGTTTGATTATTGTTCTTTTTATAGCACGATACCAAAGAGTGGTATTCAGGGGACAACAATTTTGGTCCAAGCGATCGAAATGACCAGACCGGTCAAAGAGGACCACGTTCAAAGGTGGTTCCAAATATTCCGTTCGGACCAAAGCGAAATGGTCCGTTTGATCAGTCTAACCGAACGTTCACCATTTTTGGGCTGCATGGAAAGCTCCCCGTATTTCCAGAAGTAAGCGCCTTAGGCCCGGTTCAGACGCAGAACATTTAATGAGCCGAACCCGATATATTGAATTAAGTACATGTAAAGTTCGGCGTCTGAATCAACAAGCCACTTGCGCATGTCCATAATGTACCTTATTTGCCCTCCAAAATTTTGTTAGTATAACCTTTGTTTTTTATTTCCTCTGGGTGTTACGGCCTCCCAAGCTAAATTGAAAACAATGCTAATGCAAAATTTTGGGGGGCAAATAACGTGCATTATAGGAGATGTGCAAGTGGCGTATTAGGAACGCCTGTTTCAATTTGGGATGGCTCACCCGTCCTTCCCACCAAGCTCCGGCGGGGAATTCGACTTTGGATCGACTTTGGAACGGCTTTGATTGTACGCAGTTTGACCGAGATGATCATGTTGAGCTGCAATGAAGATCGGTGTCTGAATCAATTCAGCCGGTCTAAATAATTTGAGTTGACTTGAATTCGAATAGGTTCGGCTCATGAAAAGTTCGGCGTCTGAACCAGCCCTTCCCCTGGCTCCTGAAGTCTGTTCTCTAAATGTCTGCGAAGAAATAACTGCGGCTTCGTCGCCAACTATTATGAATTAGGGAAGGAAATAAAAAACCTGGCCATAAGCACCTTGGCGCTGATTTAATTATTCGGCTAAACATATCACCAAAGGTTTCCTTCAAAGTACTGAGAATTATTTTAGTTGAAACTTCATTTACAGATGAAGTCAAACCAACGATATTATTCACTTCAGCAATATAGTAATATGTATGAAAAGTAACCTCGATACAAATAGGCCTCGTTTTAGGCAAGATATTACGCTAGGTCCTTGATCCTTTGTAATATCGAGGTACTTGTTTAATCACGAGTTAAGAGTTAATTGTAGCCAAGTAACAGCATGATCCTTCATGTAGACGTTTTTTTTGCGGTTGTTTCTTCAGCGTGATTCAAGCCATGAAAAACAGTACACTTATGTGGACATCACAGAGGCAGAGAGAGTGCAAGCAAGCCAATGGGAGCAGAGACGTCTAGAAAATGAACGAAGTCAAAGAGAGCTCCAAAAACAGCTGCAAGAACTGGAAGAACAACGACTAGAGAAAGAGAGAATGCAAGCGGAGATCCTTCAACGCGAAAGAGAAAAAGAACAAGAAGAAGCCAGGAGAAAGGAAAAGAGTTTGCGTTTAGAAGACGAACTTTCCCTCCGCCGAGATGAACTGTTCAACTACAAATTTGGTAGCAAGGTTGGGTTTCATAGTTTCCAGGGTCTGAAAATAGATGATGTGACTCAACTCAGGATCGGCGTGATCGGAACGACCAAATCTGGTATAAGCTGTTTTATTAACGGTTGTGAACGGGTTTTGAGGCAAACGGAAAGTGGTACAGCACCCTACTGCAATAATGGCGGTAAACAGGTTACCACTACGCTTCAAGATTACCTGCCTGAAATGTTCTTCCACTTGGTGGATATTCCCGGTGTCTATGACTACGATTTCGATATCGTGAAATTTCGAAACATTATAGAAGGAAAGATTCAACCCGGGTTTGATGTGGCAAAATTCTTCGCAGTCAAAGAGAGAGGTGAACCAGAAGACCTGCCCCCGTGTCCGGGTTTTGCCTACAGGTTACACGGGATCATAGTTGTTCTAAAAGGAAACTGTCATCGGCTCCTTCACGGTAAACCTCTAGACCTGACATTTCAATGGATGCTGCGGGAAACCGGTAATGTTTTCTGTTGTTAATGTTGTTAATTCAAGCTACATTTGTTGAAACATGGTTTTTAGGTATTTATAAATCGCGAGTAGTGCTGGTGACAAGAGCAGAATATAGAGGCGTATTTCACCAGGCTCACCTGTAATACGCAGTTCGGAAAAAAAAATGTCCACCCCGGCGGCAAAGACAGTCCTGGGACAAATTTTTTAAGGAAACGACCTCACGAGCTTGCTTATTTAGATATTCAACGTTTTTTCCATATTTGTCATATGCTATGGCATAACTAGTCTGCGAAAACATCCGTTTCTTCGTCCCCAGCTACGAAGAGCGAGGAGAAACGGATGTTTTCGCAGGCTATGGAATTACCAATTCAACGAAGCATCCCTAGATTGGTGGGAGAGGTAATTCACTACTGAAATTCGACAAGGCTTTCTTTTTCCTTCTTATCAAGCTCTTCCAAACTCGATAACTCTGAAACTTGTCATCGCCTCTCGTCAAATAACGATTCTTTTATTTTTAAAATAGGTATTACCCCAGTCACCATTGTCACGCACGCTGACAAGCTCAGATCAGAAGAAGAAAGTGAAGAAGCTCTGGACGCTGCAAAATTGGCTACTGGAAGTGAAAGCAGAAACACATTCCTTTTGGCCAACTACACCGAAATCGACAGCGAACGCAACCCGGAGACAGAGCGTACGATACTCCATATTCTTGACTGTGCAGTGTTTTTGGCGGAGACCGCAGTGTTGAAAATGAAGCGAAATCAGAAAACCAAGAAGGATATGCAAGCCCATGGGAGGACTAGTGTCAGCGCACAGAATGCGGTAAAAGACTCTTATTTTCTTAGCTTGATAGTAAGAGCATTACACAAATGTTATAACCTCAGTCCGGTCACCCAACTAAGTGTAGAAAACAATAAAAGATTATTTTGTCCTCTATAAATAACGGGATCGTCCTATGTTCAATCGTGTCCGTGTTATTTATGTGCTTTGAAATTTCTTATAGCTTAACTACAAACTGGAGGTCGTTAGGCCGTGCCGAGTTACCCTCCGGCTTAAGTCTGATACACTCATAGAGAGCCAATGTGTTATCTCATTACTACACGGTATCAAGCACAACTGTCCGTATAACTTCAACTTAAGGTGGCTCGACTAGATTTTTTGGGGGGGGATACCTCCCAAGTTTGAGCATTAATTACGTCGCCATGAGTAAAGATATGGAAAAAAGGTTTCCACAACTGTATTATGTAAAGATGAAAATTTCTTATGATGTGGGTTTTATTGCAATCGGAGTCGCCATGGCAACGTAACGACGCCATTGCGTTTTTATTTATCTTTGTGTTTCTCTGTACTAGGAGTTTTTTTTAAGAAATCGCGTAAGGGAGTTTGTACCTGCCATAATTGCCTCAATTATGGCAAAGTTTGAACAAATTCTATGAGAGCGTTTTCGAAATATTTTGAAACGAAGTTTTAAGCATCATATGAACAGTGAAATAGCATGCTATCCACACAATTAGCTAATTTTTTAAGAAAATGATAAGCTTTGGCAACGCGGCTTCATCTCATAGTGGTTTGATTCCATTGAATACTGCGTACGAAATAGAGGAGAATTGCTCTGGGCGATCGCGAGAAAGAAGAATTTTAATAACTTGCATTCAGCTGCCTTTGTTACAGTTTTTGCACGTAATTTGGTCCATGCCTACAAATTTCGCATTTTTCAAAACCGCTCGATAAATTTTTTTATAAATTTGAAAATCCCGAGATCAATCGTCAATAAATATACCCTGCAAGTTTCAAGAACATTGAAAACAGGGAAGACTTTTAAACAAGGCCTCAAATATAACCAATTTTCCCCGCAGATTTTGTGTTTACAAGTGAGCGTCATCATTATTCACTGGCATTGTTTTCAATTTTTATATGCACTTACACATTTAGCAGAAAGATAGAATTTCCATAAAAAAGGACCCTCCGTTAAATCTCCGGAATATGCTAATAACCGGGTAAAGAAATTAGAGATATATTATAACATCACAGCAACTCTTTGTAAGAGTTTCTGTGATGTTATTATAACCCGAGTAAGATAATTAAAGGTCAAATGAACCAAAAATTGGACCTTTTTTTATTTTAGCTCAATTCTAGTGAAATATGTTTAATACGAACCGAATAAACATAGTATGACGTTTCAGCTCAATTGAAGCAAGCATCTCCGAGATATTTGCAATTAAAAATTGTTATTTCTTGGCCCTTATCTTCGTAGAGCGGTCGGAAAAATTGTCGGTAAAAACAGCTTGTGACGTCAAGGTTGGTCAGGAAAAAAAAAGCGGGAAATTCAAAACAGTGTTTTTCGAGTCGACTTGGCGCAGAAATTGTGGTGGTTTGTGCGGCCATAAACCTAGAAAGAACAAGCAATTTGGCTTCAAAAGTTGCAAGCTGTGGTTATAACCTTATTATTTAGTTTTCTCGAAGAATACATCATAGTAAAACGGACTTTAATGAGTTAATCTTTATCTACTAAAATCTTCCCCAAAATCGGTTTCAAAGCAACTACAGTTTTTTAAACTTGATCTTTTCGTGCAAATAAAGTTTGTTTTGTGTTGAACATGCATAACACCTGTCAAAACTGAACCAAGTAAGATTTCCTTTAAACAAATTTGAAGATACATTATTGCACAAACTTCTTTCCAGTTACGTATATGATTTAATTACCGACTGAGATCACTTTAAGGACCATAGACGCCACTTGAAGCTCGCAAAGAGAGGCGACAAGCAAAGAACAATTCCGTCATGCATAAAATTCAGCTTAAGTGAACTAAAAAAAGCTTGAATAAGGTCGCAAAACAACAAATTTCCACTCAAAAAACATAAGGCTTAAGGCTCTTATACCTGCTGACAATGAAGAAGTGAATTTTCTGTGCGAAATAAACTACCTAAAGATCTTAAAAGCAAAAGATCAGTTGCAAGCTTCGCACCCAAGCCATGATTCACCATTTAACTATTTTTGAAAACTGGTCCATGCGAGGGTCTTCATTCAAGCAAATTAAACGCAGGAAACTGAATCATTAGAAAATACAGAAAACTACACATAAGGGTTTGTTTAGCTCGCTTCAGTCAAGTCCAGCTCCAGCAATTGTTTACGGGCAAAGAGTCAATTGTTTTAAAGTCACTGCCGGCAGTTGTCGTTCTCAGCTACTTCACAGCGAGTGAAAAGGAAAATTTACGTACAGAAAGAAAACAAAACTACGTAATTAAAAATGAAAAAGAAAAAAAATACTCTGACTATTATTACTTGAGCAACAGAAAAGTGATCGAAGTAGTCTGTTCTTCTCGAATAAGCTTGCTAGCCTTCATAGTTCCGAGGAAGTTTTAAGCGCTCAAGTTTGTTCGTTCGCAAGCGTTAGCATTACGGTTCTTTGACATAAGACAAGGATAAAGCTGGTTCTGCAAAGGTAAATGAATCTGGGCATGTAAAAAAACTAACCGTAACTACTAATAACAGAATACAAGCGGGTTTTAATTCAGCCTGGCGAAAGAAGGCGAAGCACTGGACACAAAATCAATTCACAAATCGAATGCACTATTATCAGAAAAATACAAACCTCTTTTGAAATGTTCAAAACGTTTTATTCCTTCTCAGACTGACGGGATGATCTGTTTTTACTCTAACATTGGTTGTTCTGAATCCAAAAGTAATTTTCAAGTGACGAAAAAACATCAACAAAAAAAAAAAAGCCTTTATAAGGAGCAAACGTTCGCACCTCGTGTATTTCATTCAGTCTCAGTCAGAACTCTCACAAAAAGGGGAAAATAAACGCAGGCGTTACGCGGGCGATAAGGGATGCGCGGAAGCTTGCGCAGAACGTTTTTCAGCCCTGAAAGACCAACATTGACGTCACGTAGTCTCCAGTCTTTCACGCGGCCATTTCAGAAACGTTTTCGTGAAGTCTTCGGAAATGCTCGGATTTTGATCTTTTATCTTTCTATAAAGGCTTGGGAAGAAAAATCTTTACCCAAATCTCAATTAGGATGGTTCTTTTTAGTGTTTTATGAAGGTAAAGCGACAAAAGAAAATATTTCAATTTTTTGGTTCATTTGACCTTTAAGTGTTGCATTCTACAAGATGAGCCGTGACGTTCACCGTCTCTGCTCTCACTGCTATCTGTGACACAAGCCAGTTATTAGCACATACCAGATATTTCTTCCGAAAGTAATCGAGAGGTTTTTTTTTATGCAAATTTATTTCTTTTTGCTAAGTGTGCACGTGCATATGAAATTTGTAAACATATAAAAATTGAAAAGAATGCCAGTGAATAATGAGGACGCTTACTTGTAAACACAAAATCTGGGGGAAAAATTGGTTATATTTGAGGCCCTATTTAAAAGTCTTCCCTTTTTTCAATGTTCTTGAAACTTGCAAGGTATATTTATTGACGATTGATCTCGGGAGTTTCAAATTTATAAAAAAATTTATCGAGCGGTTATTTGAAAAATGCGAAATTTGTAGGCATGGACCAAATTACGTGCAAGAACTGTAACAAAGGCAGCTGAATGCAAGTTAATAAAATTCTTCTTACTCGCGATCGCCCAGAGCAATTCTCCTCTTTTTTTGTACGCAGTTTTCAATGGAATCAAACCACTATGAGATGAAGCCGCGTTGCCAAAGCTTATCATTTTCTTTAAAAAATTAGCTAATTGTGTGGATAGCATGCTATTTCACTGTTTATATGATGCTTAAAACTTCGTTTCAAAATATTTCGAAAACGCTGTCATAGAATTTGTTCAAACTTTGCATAATTGAGGCTACTATGGCAGGTACAAACTCCCTTAAGCGATTTCTTAAAAAAACTCCTGGTACAGAGAAACACAAAGATAAATAAAAAAGGCAATGGCGTCGTTACGTTGCCATGGCGACTTCGATTGTAATAAAACCTACATCATAAGAAATTTTCATCTTTATATAAAACAGTTGTGGAAACCCTTTTCCCATATCTTTACTCATTGCGACGTAGTTAATGCTCTGACTTGGGAGGTATCCCCCCCAAAAAATCCAATCGAGCCACCTTAAACTTTTGCTTAAAGGGCATTACCTTGTACTCACACTGAATTATTTTGGAATACTTTCACAAGCATGTATTATATAGAGACTTAAAACAGAAGACAATCTATGGAGGTACATGCACAGTGAATAACAGAATATTATATTCGTCTTTTGTGATCTTATTAATCTTTTTGGTTAAATTTATAATTCTTCTGTTGCACATTCAATAGAACTTGCTGTAAAGAAAATTCTCTCGCACCCAGCTACAACGGACCGCTTCGTTCCCAATTACCCGGGAAGTTTATTGACGTAAACAGCATGTTTCTATGAGTAAACGCGTACTTTTATCTTCTTCAGGGTGGTTCAAATCATGACACGCAGCATATGTACATGTACAATATAGAGGCAAAGAGGGAGGAAGCAAAACAGAGGAAAAAGAGAAGTCAGAAAAATGAAAGGAGACAAAGAGAGCTTCTAGAAAGACTACACATACTGCAAGAAAAAAGACAAGAAGACGGAAGACGAGCAGAGGATCTGCAACAGAAGCAACGAGAAATCGAGCAAGAAGAGGGAAGGAGAAGAGAAGAGGAAGAAAAACGCATGCTTTTAGAGTATGAACTGTGCCGCCTTCGAGCGAAACTGATCGGCTACGAATTTGGTGAATACAACGGCCTTCATAGCTTCCAGGGTTTGGAAATAGAAGATGTAACCCAACTCAGAATTGGTTTGTTTGGACCAACTGGATCTGGTATAAGCTGTTTTATACATGGTTGTGAACGAGTTTTGAGACAAACAGAAAGGGGTACAGCACCCTACGGCGGTTGTGGTAAACAGGTCACCACCATGCTCCAGGATTACCTGCCCGAAATGTTCTTCCATTTGGTCGACACTCCTGGTTTCTTTGATATTAAGGGAAGTGTCCTGGAATTTCAGAGCGTTGTAGAAGGAAGGATTCAGCCTGGGTCTCGGGTGTTTATCAGGGGCGGACCCCAAGAACTAGACGAACTGATAAATGACCTGTCTCCGTGTCCTGGTTTTGCCTACAAATTGCACGGGATCATCTTTTTTGTGCGCGCTAACGATCCCAGGTTAAGGGACGGAGTTCACAGCAAAGAATTACTACCATTCCGAGAAATTATGAGTAGAGCCTGTATGTTTGTTTTGTTGTTTTATGCAAAATAAAAGCTGTTTGTTAAGATAGATAGACGGACAGACTAGCGCGGACAAATTAGCTACAAAGAGAAATTGAGCAAGTATTTTTTGGGGTGGCTTATTTAGGTAGGGAATTTTTGAGTATTCAAAACGACAATCTGAAGATTCGTGGTAGTGCCCGCGTATCCCAGTCGCGTAGTTCTGCGGATAAAGCACACATTCAATTTCTGTTTTTTTGTGTTACATCATTTAATGCTTTCTGAAAACTTTTAATGCTCGGAATTTTGGCATGGGATGTTTTTTGGGTTATTTTTTGGTCCAGGGATTTTGTTTGGTTTTGATTTTTGCCCCCATTTGATCACCCTCGTCACTTAAAATCAGTAGTACAATGTGCCTATCGAACTTGATTCGAGAGTTAACTGCAGGGGAGATGATAAAAATGGTATGATATAAATATGATTTTTGTCGAATCTGCGACTGAAACAGTCGGAGATTCGCCGGACTAGTAAGCTAAAAGGTTCGACATTTGATTCAGACTTCGTATTTCACAAATGCCTATTATAAAGCATTAATCTTATCCATATCGCATAACAGTTTGTTCATGTTTACAGACTGGAAGTATTTACAACAAACAGAGAATTAACGGTCAAAATATTTACTCTAAAATGGGGAAAGGATAGTGAAAGAGCAACAAGTTCTCTTAGGTACATTTCAGAGGCTTCTAATAAGGTTCTAAAATTTCGCCTTGTACACTCTTTTTTTTATAAGAATGTTGTTTTTCCGGCCCAGGCTGAATATTCTTATTTTTCTGCCGATTTTAGGCTGAAAATATTCTTGTATTATTCTTAAATTATAGCTTATGACATTTCCGTTTTAGAATTTATTGGGGTATCAATTACAAGTGATTGGTATCTAGATCTGTATCGCGTTACATTGTGCACATGCTCCATCGCTAGGTTTTGTTATTTTTTATTTTTTAGGAAAGAGTTTGTCATAATACTTTTTTTGCGGTTTTGTTTATGCCTTTTGTGCTGAATACTGTACATATGTGTTACACGTACCGTTCATCGAACTGTCATTAGCGTTGAACATTTTGCTATAGCTAGTGCAGGTTTTTTCGTTTTGTTGGCTAGTTTCGCCGTTCAGAGAAAGGAATAATTTTATACGGTTAAGTTAAAAACATAAAATTGTATTGTATTTACAGATGTTTCAACACATAAAATTATATCTATCCTTTTCAAAATCTCAGCCTCGGCTTTATTCTTAAAATTTCGCAAATTTCAGCCTCGATATTATTATAAAATATATTCTTATCAAAAAAAGAGTGTATGTGTGTTTACGTTGAATAGGAATCAATAAACAAACGGAAAAGGGTCACTTGACTTGTTAATTAGTTAAAATAACATTTCCAATCATACAAGGCGAATTTACGATTTACGCTGATTATGCAACATTTTAGTGATGAAAATTCTTAAGATTAAGATTTGCAACCCTTCCACGTTTAGGAAAACGTGTTTTGTGACGTCATTGACGAAGCAATGTCACGTGTTATTTGAAATCACGTTTTACGTGTTTTTTTTTTTTTCATTGAGCCATCACATCCAATGTGTTAGCCTCCTACGCAGAAGTTCTTAGGGGTTTGTCACGCGTTCCAGTGCCCCACTAGTGGGGCAGGAACGCGTGACGAACCTCTACGTGTGATGCTAATCCGATGTCTGAATCAACTGCACTTTATATCTCTGCCACAAATTGCTATCACCATTTCCTGTCAAAGAAAATTCATGTCTTTTTATGTCAACACAGGTATTACCCCAATCACCATTATCACGTCGCCACGAATGCTAAGAACTGAAGAAGACTTTGATCTGGCTCTTAACATTGCTCAAAAGGCTACTGGAAGTTTACCTATTCACACATTCTTGCTGGACAACTATACCGAATCCGACAACAAGCGCAGCCCGGAGAAAGAACGGAAGATACTCGATATTCTAGACTGCGCGGTTTTTTTGGCTGAGAGTGCAGTGCTGAGAATGAAGCGAAAACAGAAAGAAGAAGAGATGACACACATGCATGAGGCAACTACTGTTAGCGGACAAATTACACCAGACTCCGCGTAAGGTAATAACAGAGTCTTCGTTAATGAAGATTTTAGTAGGTAGTTTTAGAATAAACGGTTCTCGCGTGAGTGGAAAAGGGGGCGGAGGATCATCATTTCCCGCTAACCGTACAACTGTCTGTTTCTCTCGCAATTCCTGCCTTATATTGTCGTATTTATGAAAACCACACTAGGCTGGCTCCGCGAGGCCACATACCTTAAACTGACTCAACTAAAGTAAATATTGCCAAGAAACTCTGCTCTTACCCATGTTTCTCTTAAGGTGACTCTCTTCTTGGTTCCTGGTTAGCAAAGAAACGTTCAAAGTCCATTAAAAAGACACTCTGGACTTGGCCAGACACTCTAGCTGCGTGAGGGCTCTACATGACAGAGGATGCTTGAGACTTAAGCAAGTTCTAGGCAGAGAATTCAAGGCCACATCACCCCCCCCAGCCCCCTGACTTTCTGCCCCACCCCAGCCTAGCACGTGCTGGAGGGGAATCCTTTCTTTGGCCAATGGGCCTCAAATAGTAAAAGAATTTGACATGAGGAACTTAAGGCAGACATGACCATTGTACTGACTCTGCCAGAGAAAGACTAACGACTAACGGACAGTACCACGCCATGGCGAGTTAGCTCAGGGACTGAGCTTGACAATGAGACCAACCAGAACAGCAAGACCCCTGTGTTTTTTTGTCACCGCAGTGACCAGAATCGCCAGGTTTCTGTGCGAATATTCTGGCCCGTTTTGAGGTATGTTTTCAAAAATTCGGTTATATATAGAAGATATTACACGGTGGCGCGAAGATATGAATTTTATTTTCGAGTGCCAAAACAATATATTTTACGAACGAGAGCAGTGAGTGAGTAAAATATTGTTTTTGCAACGAGAAAATAAAATTCATATCTTCAAGCCGCCATGTAATGTTCTTTTTGTTATATAGACAAAAAGACATCGAGAAAATAATAGATTTTTATTCGCCAAAAAGTAATTGCGACGGCTCAAATTTACAGTATTTATTTAATAAGCCATATAAGACATCTTTTACATTAATCTAGAGAAATAACACTGAGCTGAATAGGGCTCTACGATGACAAAATATAAGCAAAGCTTTCAAAAATGTGTAAGTAAAATTCAAAAAATGATAAATAATAAAACGCTTTGAATTATAGTTAAATCATAACAGTAATGATTTACCGAATCTTAGTCATAAGGCGGCAAAAAAGTTTTCAATAGTTGTGTACGAAATGTGAAAAAATGCATGAAAAAAAGGCCAAAGAAAGGTTTATTGGCTTTCATCGCTACTATCAATAACAATTCTCCGTCTTTTAAACTGATGTGTTTTCTCAAAATCGTTACCTTTTGGATTCTGCGAATTTGTGAAAATGTTCACTGTTCCTACCTGGCACTGGTAAAGAAAGGGCAAAGTTCCTGCACTTGTGCTGGGTTGAACTGTAGATACCGATGTAATTTCATCTACTGTTACTTTTGGCGAAGACGAAGTAGCAACAGAAGTAGAAGATTCCCCTCTCCTGGATAATACTGTAGAGATGTGCTGCTGTCTTCTGTCAGATATAGCGGAGTAGTTTATTCAGTGAATTGACGTTTTTGTGTCCAGTTCGTTCGGTGGAATATTATTATCCACAAGTTTCTGGACTAGATGCTTTCTTGTGCTGTGGTTGACCAATTTCTCAGTGTTTGAATGAACTTGGGAGGCCGCTAATATGTTTTTCACCATAGATCTAAATGAATTTTCTCCCAGTGGAGCTGCCTTGAACCATTTCTTCCCTGCCTTCGGAACCTCTGTGTTGACAGCAAAATAAAACGGAGAGATGTCTGCCATCATTTCTGGTTGTCTATATTGCTTATAGGCCAAATAGGCTGTGACAGGACAGCGATCATTATTGTCAAGGTTTTCGAACATCTTTGGCTTGCTTTCTGTGACATTTCTTGTGTTTTCACCAGTTCTCGTTTTTGTTTGGCGCTCGGTGGAAAACTTCACGTAACGAAGCCCGTCAGCATTACCCTGCTAGCAGAGTCGCTTCGATCTTTCCTAGATAAGTCGGGAAAGAGGAAGCGACTCTGCCGACATCTTCAAGTTCCTTTGATCTGCCGATCATCCAGCTTTTTGGATGAGTCAGACAAGTTTCGTACTGAATAAACCAGTTTTATCTGTGCACGCACGCATATTCTGGGATTTTGCTGACTCTTTCTGCGCCTACGCTCTATAAAAAAACAAATAGCTGCCACTTCAATTTCATGCGGGATTTTTGAGAAAATTATAGATTGAACGTTCAGTTTTAGAAAATTGGAAAATGTACCCAGATTCGAGATGTATTTTGTTTTGAATTTAACCATGTACTTAGCCGATTGTATTGCGTGAACGGATTCACAATCCAGTAAGTGTCACGCGAAGTTTTTGGAAGGATAAACAAATGGGTTTTGAATAAAAATAATAATATTTAAGAAACAACATCTATGCTTATTCTTCTGTGTTTGCGATAACATTAATTCAAAATAAGATCATGAGGCTGCATAATCCATGTTACATTTAAATGATCGATGTTTTTACAGCTGTTTGTGGATAACATCTCAGGTTAGATAACACCCGACTTGTGATGCCAAAAACGTCTTCGGATTTTGTGTTCTTCTACGACGTCAATCAAAATCTGAAGAAGCGGCGCTTCCTTCGCTTTCTCGCCTTTTATACATCTTAGCGAACCTCTTAGGAAACAAAAGGTCGTCGTTCGTGATTTGTGATTGGTGAATTTCGATCCGTTTTGTGTGTTTCTGTGCTCCAAGGTTAGATGCTTTGTTTTTGAAAAGCACCGTAAGGTTTACCTTAGCTCTAAGATTTTTTTAATCTTCTTTACACTGAAACATGGCAAGTTTAGATTCCAAAGGCGAAATTGTTCCTATAGAGCTTCCAAATCCAGAGGAAACACAGCTACGGAAGGGTGAAAACGAACCGGTACGTTCCCGCTGACATTTACATTTGCTGACAAACACAGTGGATGCTGCGGTAACGGTTTGATTGACGTCGCAGAAAAATTTGAATTTAGAGCATGCTCAGTATGAATTGTTGAGGATGTCGGCAGAGGTTCTTCTCTAAGAGGGTTTTTGCAAAGTGTTGACCGCTACCTCCGTAAAAGAGAATGCACATTGTCCCTTTTGAACGACAAAGAATTCTGTGAGGTTCAAGATATCCTGAAAAAGAAGTGCAAACATCTTAAGGCCATAGGAAAGGGAAACAAGCCCAATGGTGCCGATGCACTAACAGATGAAGCGGTGAGGGTAAAAGGTGGAATGAGTTTGCGGAATGGCATGTGGCATGGCTTGCGGAATGACATAATTATGCGGAATGTAATATATGCAGAATGACTTAAAGTTAAAAAATTAAACTAAAAACTGCGCCCTAAATCAACTCAAAACAGCTAGTGTTTTGTCTCGTAGGTCAGCCCCATGAACTAATAAAGAGGAAAAGATGCCAAACACATAAGTCCGTCTGTAGAAAACTTACATCTTTATAATGTTTCTATGTTTTATGCCACAGAGTCAAGATCCAATCTGATCCAATATGGCAAACAGCAAACCGTAAGTGAGTTTTACATGGTCAAAATTGTCCTAGGAGCCAATGAAAGTATCCAGACAAAAAGTATGAACTCCGATATTTTAATTGTGTGTTTTTAGCTCACTTTTTTCGTTAGAGTATCGTATAAATGAGACGTATTGAAAATTGTTCAGAATAGTAGGTAATACCACGTATTAGTATAGGTAATAGCATGATTTGTAGTGATATTTGGCATAAATACCACAAGTGATATTTCGAAATTGTTATACGTAATTTCACGAGCCGTTAGGCGAGTGAAATTTGAGACAATTTTGAAATATCACGAGTGGTATTTATGCCAAATATCACGTACAAATCATGCTATTATTTGTTTATACTACTACCCGAAAAAGGTTTGTAATTTTCACATGTAGGTATTTCAAATTAAGCTGAAATACCACTGCTCTAAGCCAATCAGATTGCAGAAATTTCTCATGTAGTAGTATAAACGTGGGAATACTGAAATAAAGTTGTTATTGTTGTTGTTATTGTTGTTAAATGCAAGCAAATAAGCATTAATTCTCTTAATTCTTTATGTGAAGCCATATTTTCCTCTTCGGTAGTCTTCCAAGGCGCCGTCCTCCTGAGTCCACTGCGATCTTAACGTTCGAATTTTGGAGGGAAGCGACGGCTACCTCTGTTCCAGGCTTGCTCTGCCAGTCCGGTCGCCGTCGCCCCGAAAACGTCTCTATCTTAAGTTCCCTAATAACGATTACATAACGCGACACCGAGACTAGGATTACAGAAAGAATACGCATATGAAAAAAGGCTAACAAAAAACTACTCCAAGCGCGATAGCAAAAGTACTGATTATAAACTAACTTTACACAAAGCAAAACATGAAAAAAATAAAAATAAAAAAACAGGAAAAAACTCGCAGTCTCTCGTGGCTACATGCCCGCCCCAATGAACTAGCCAAGTCTTTATACAGTTCATTAATAGAGTCACTACTTAGGCGCGAGCGTAAGTCCTCGACCCTTAAATAGAACTGCTAGTAGTGATAAAATAAAATCCCTTTCACAGCTTCTGGGGAAAAAAAAGGTTCGTTTTCTGAATTCAATGTGCCGCTCTCTGTCCTTCAAGGAAGCATAATTTTGTTACTGGCCTTGTAAGAACCGTTAAACTAGTCTGAACCGCGGGGATTCAATTTCCAGATGATGTTTTTCTGACGAAGAAAGTCATGAATCGTTGTTTGGTTCCATTTAATTACTTACAGACTCACGGAGCCCTTTCTCCCCTGCGCGAAAGTTTGTACCATTGTCACTGAAGATAGTAGTTGGACATTCTCTCAAACTGACAAATTGAGTTTGTCATCTTGCAGAAACCCTCTCTTCAGTACTTGAAGCCTTCGTTCTGCCATGGGCCGATTATAGGGCAAGAATGGTGGGAACTGTCTCCAGGGAAGCGCCACCTGATAATGGCGCCACCTGATAATGACCTTGATCAAGTTTCACAGATCGTTCCATGATTGCAAGGGCTTTCTTGTCTTCCACTGACATACACATGCTAGAGTCACCCGCCAAGCCGTAATTCTCTATGGCCCAGAACATTTCGACTTTCTTTATGAGACAATCTTCATCTTAGACTTTTCTCGCGGACTCCACTAAGCAAACAAAGTTAACATTCATATGGCGCTCTCGGCAATCGATGCCTCCCACTGGGCCCATGAGTGTCCAACCGAGAGGTCTTCGTATGGCACGTGGCTCTCCTCTGTTACGACGCCTTTCTTCTAATACCCAGAAGGCCTCTGGCGCGTTGGTGCCTACGATTAATCGGACTTCTTTCTCGCTAATACTTGGTAACTTTATGTCTTTAAGGTGAGGCCCCTTTTTTGTATCTTGCTCTGAAGGGATACTTCGGCGTGAGGCATTAAGTCTATCAACAGTCCATAGTCTTTTAACTCAACCTTGTCAGTACCATCAAGTGACTCTACGGTTAGGCTGATCATGACCAACTCTTGGGCTGTCTTCTCTTTCTTGAGTTGTCAGGAAGAATGTTTTTTCTTGCCCTCGAATTCCAAGCTCCCTCGCTAGAGTCTTGTCGCATAAGGAGATAACTGAACCGCTGTCTAGAAGTGCGTACGTTTCCACTGCCTTGTTTGCATCACGACTTCGGACTTTCACAGGGACCACCCTGAGGCAAACCTCTCCCCCTCCTGCTGAGGTACTGTTAGTCTGTCCACTTGGTAACGGCGTGTCACTGTTTACTTGGGTTCCTTGTTCTACTGCTCTGGTTCTGTTTTCAACAGATTGCTGTGAGCGCGGAGGGTGAAGTAAAGTATGGTGTCTTCTCGCGCAACCTTGGACTTCACATGTACTCCTTGCTAAGCATCCCACTGCAATGTGGCCGCACTTGAAGCAATTATGGCATAACTGAGCTTTCCTCATCACTTGTAGTCGTTCCTCGAGTCTCTTCTCTACGAAATCTTGCATTTCGCCAAGGGATGAGCTGCATTGCATACCAGGCAGACTGCATATCTCGTAGTCGGGGCTTGTTTAATTTGTGACCAGGTGAACTCTGTCCTTCTCTGGAATCGATCTCTTGAGTAATGAATGCGTTACCGCGCTCATCGGGCAAAGTAGCTCTTTTAGGCTTAGGCTTACGTCTCTGACTATCCGATCTGTCTCGTGCGACGTCTATTCTCGGTTTTCACTGTCACGCAATCAAAAATAAAATTGCAAACCATTCGATACAGAAAGTCCCGAATCTTGGAAATAAAAGAAGATAAATAAGCAAAAGACCTTGCCAAGAATCAGGTCTGTGCGATATTTCATGTGCGAGATATTAGGAAAAACGTTTTACCCAAATTTATAAAGCTTTGTATGGAGGCGCCATGTTTGTGTCCCTTTGAGGGGCACAAATATGGCCGCCGGAAACCAACAGAAACATCTGTTTTTGAGTTTTCCTACTAATGCGTTAATTCATCGCTTAAAAAACTCATAAACTATTAAAGTGATATTTATTCTGACAGAAGGAATGTTTAGATAGCAAAATCTCCCAAAACTGGTAATGTTTTTAACCCACAGAAGAGCAGTCCCGGCCGCCAGCTAAATGCCGCGTCACGCAAAAGCCTAGAAATTCAAACGTCCTCTATCGCAAAACGAAGAACCCTTTCGAACCAAACCTCTGTTTAAATAAAGGTGTTTAGGTGCTGTAATACCTCATGAAACTCAGAATCTCAGAAGAATCGATAGTTTCTTAGTTTGAATTTTGATGACGTCATGTGAAAACCGAGAATTACGCAACCAAACACAGGGTTATTTGCAGCTCTCGCCTTGATCTTGACAAATTCTGCAATTTGACTAATGTTCGTTCTATGACCTGCTTCCTGGATTTGATCCATATCTGCTACTTCAACAAATTTAGTCCTGAGATGAAACGGCAGCCTCTGAACAATTCTTCTCAGGTTGTCGACGCTATTGATTTCATCCAGGTAGCCAGTAGATTTACGTGTATTTTCGCAATCCTTCAACTGGTCAGCAAATGCTAATAATCCTGTACGATTTGAAGGCTTCAGAGGAGGACCTTCTGTTAGCTTGGTCACGTACTGCGAGGCAATTCTGAAGGGATGTCCGAACCGTTCTTCAAGTAGCTTTCTTGCAGTTTGATATCCTAGTGAAGGATCCTTGTACAGACAACATTTGATCGTGTCCTTTGCTACACCCGATGTGTACTGAAGAAGGTACATAAGCTTCTTGCTTTCGCTAGCTGCATTAGAGACGATGCTTGTTTCAAACGATTTAATAAAATTCCAGTAGTCGAGGGGATCACCTTCGAAGAGTGCCAACTCCTTCTCCGGCAACGCAAACCCCTGCTCTATGGTGAACGCCATCTTGTCCATAAATTCTTCAGGCAAAATATATTCGTTTTCTGGATTAGAGGTGGCTGTGCTGTATCTGGCTGGTAGACCTTTGAATTCTAGCGCACTGGGATTTAACTGTGACTGT